AACCGGTACTCTTCTGGTGTGAAACCCGCGCAAGATCAGAGTCCTGATGTTGTTGCTTGGCCCAGTCTATGGTCGCAAGTTTGTCTGTGGAGTCTGTACTCTCACTGGCCGGGTAAGGCACAGGATCCCCAGACACACTTTCCACTAGTGTGGCGACATTGACTGTTGATTGGCTTATAGCATCTACAACATCAGTACTGGCTTGGGTTATGCGTGAGAGACCGTCCGCATCCGCGTTATTACTCCCAGCACGGTACGACAAGGTGAAATTGTAATTGGCTAGAGCGGCGACCCATCTGTGGCCGGTGGCATCGAGCTTAGCCTTTTCAAGCACATAAGTGAGAGGGTTGTTGTCGGTCACAACTTCAAACGAATTACCATAGAGATAATCATGAAATTTGTCCGTGACTGCCCACTTGAGTGAAAGAAACTCCTGCTTATGTGCCGGATATCTCCGCTCGCTTGGTCTTAAACCACGGCTCGCATACGCAGTCACTTTCTTGCCATCCTCATGTTTCTGATACAGGCCGCTGGCATCAGTATGGAGGATGAATGGCTTAGTGAAATCAGCATACGCCAGAACCGGGGGATTCAACAGTTTCTCTTTCAAGGTCTCAAAGGCGGTCTGCTGGGGCTCTCCCCAGACCCACTCAGCCTTTACCTTAGGTTTCTTCTTAGGTACGACCTTTTGAATGACCTTGGGTTTTTTTATGAAGGTCATGACCTTGTAGAAGTTGATTCAGGGGTTGTGCTATTGCAGCGTAGTCCTTGATAAAACGCCTGTAGTACCCACTGAACCCTAGAAACTGACGAAGCTCCTTAACATTCTGGGGCTGTGGCCAATCTTTAACTGCGGATACCTTTTCAGGATCCGTAGCTATGCCTTTCTCAGACACTATATGTCCTAAGTACGTCACTGAGTTCTTAAACAGCTCGCACTTGGAAGGTTTTAATTTCAGGCCATGTTGGGAAAGTCTGGGAAAACCGATTCCAACCTAGTCAGGTGCTCGTCAAATGTACGAGAGAAGATCAGGATGTCGTCAAGGAAAATAAGACACTCCCTCAGATGCATGTCGCCCATACACTTTTCCATCATTCTCTGGAAAGTAGCACCGGCATTACAAAGACCAAACCCCATTCTGTTAGTCTCCCAGAAACCTAGGTTACCAACAGAAAAGGCCGTTTTTTCTTTGTCTGCCTCATCCATCTCAATCTGCCAGTAACCCGATCGAAGGTCCAACTTAGAAAAGTACCTAGACCCGATCAAGGTATCTACTGTGTCATCGAAACGTGGCAACATGTATGCATCCTTGCGAGTACGCTTATTAAGTATGCGGTAATCAATACAGAATCGTAATGAACCGTCCTTTTTCCGAACCAGCACAACGTTCGATGAAAAAGGGCTGTTTGATTCTTGTATCACCCCAGCCTCTAACATCTCCTTGATGTGCTGACGGACCTCTTCATACATACCAGGTGGTATCATACGGTACGGCTGCTTAAAAAGGCCGCTCATCCGTAAGTTGGATAGTATGTTTTACAATGTCCGTGTGTCCTATATCAAAAGCACTGGTGGAAAATGCGTGCTTCCAATTCCCTAGCACCTGACGCACCCTAAGTAACTGCTCTTCACTAAGGTTCTCAGTATCTATTTGAATACCCAGTTCCTCAGGAACTGACTTTGGTACTTCAGTGGCTGGCAGGCGTGATGCCAGGTTGTCAACAACCTGTACCTGATTCACTGAGCATATTAACGACCTCGGTGATATAATGATAGGCTTTGCCGTTACATTACAGATCTTAACTGGGACTTTAACACTAGGAATCTGATTCTTGAGTTTGAAAACCCGTGGGCAAACAGTATACCTTAGGTTGGAATAGTCGCAGTTGTTTTCTGTCACAATGTTGTCGGTATCGGGGTCTAATCCTCTGACAATGCCGTTAACCACTGCAGACTCGTACGTAGCAACCTTGAAAGGTCTACGGTTAGTGGACCGTACCCCATACGAACACGTTATACTGTCTACAGCAGTTCTCCACATGGCTGGCAGTTCTAAATCGCCCGATGAGTCTTTCACTAGCCGTATGACATTTGTACCCAATAAAACAGGGCACTTTTGATTGTACTCGGTATCAGGCACGAATAAAGCCAAGATACTAAGGTTTGTCTCCTGCATAAATGGTATTTGGACATCACATTCTATAAGACCTAAATATTCAAGAGCCGATCCATTCGCCACAGTAATATCAAGCCCCAACGAACTCAAATCATTTAAAGGCGGCTTATCTGCTAAGCTGTCATAGAATGACCTTGCTACAGTAGATATATGTGATCCACTATCGATAAGACCTCTGACTTTCCGACCTTGAATATAGACTGTCCCTTCATTAGCGATGCCTAATAATCTATCCAATACATCTGTCTGGCCATGTGATTGTTCACCAGTCCCTGGTTGGCCAACAGCAGAGACGGTTACTCTTTTGGGCTTTTTTATCATTCTTGGACCAATTACCATGCTTATTAGCGTTGTTTTGGCCCTGACCTTTACCTTGACTTTTGCTTTGACCTTGACCTTGACCCTTATTTTTATTTTGACCTTGACCCTTGTTATACGACTTTTGACTCTTCAACTTCTCAAGTATCTTGTCAAACTTAGAGTCAATTTGAGAGACAACCCTGTCCTCTAATTGTTTCAATTTAGCGTCAAAATCCTTTGAAAACAGTAAATGGAACATCTCTTAGCTTTAAGGTACGAAAAAACATCTTTTCTTTTTAAGCTATTCCCGAGACCCTGGCAGTTAGCGGACAGAATAGATACCCCATCCATCAGTTCAAGTTATATTCCCGATTGACAAATACATGTTAACTAGCCCAGCGTTTGAGGAAAGAGTTAGAAAAGGAAGGAATAAGAAAGAAAGTAAGTTAAAAATCATGTCTAAACTGTCAAAGTCAAAAACAACTGTTTACCTACGCACGCATGTTTCTCCTGTTTCAAACCTCATGTGAACAACCGGAAGTAAGTGCAAACCGGAAGTAATATACTAATCATTTACAGTGGACTGCCATTTCCCGGAATTTAAATAGATAAATGGAAATTAAAAAAAAAGCTGCCCAAAAGCTTAACGATAGAAGATACTAAATCAATATTCACCTGATTTAGTTCTTTAAAGTTCATTGACGAGAAACAAACAGAATAAATATGCACCGGTCTACAAGTTTTCCAGTAAACATCCCAATCGAATACATTGACAACAAAACTCACATCTTAAAGAAAAACACATTAAACACAATCACACTGTACTTCACACTATATAACTGGATTGATAAAACCAGGGCGTGTCCTTCCCTGGCGGTACTATAACGTACCCATGTCCACTATCGATCACTCAGTAGAAAAAATACACATATATACAAAATCCAAATATGAATAAATTCACTGATAATAATCACTACCGGACCGGAAGTTTCTGTCATCTGCTAAGTAGCTGTCCGATAATTCGGTATCATATCCCAGTCTTCTTTTTTTCCGTTCTCTAAAACCACAAACAGTTTTCCATCCACACTATATGAATGCTTCACACTCTTTAGTCTATACGCCTGCTTTAGGATGTCCTGGTTTCGTTTGGTCAGGTTCCGGCGCTTGCTGAGAATCTGTGTCTTTTTCCTTCGGTGTGTGAACTTACAAATTATGGTCCTTGGCCTTTCACTGTTAAATCTATCCAGCCGGTGGGCAATGTCAATATCATTCTCGTTTATGTCCACTTTCAATGAGTTCTTGACCAAAGTCACGACTTTCTCGACACACTCCTCCACCAATTCCCGATCGTTTTTATCTTCCACACCAACAATCCTATTGGAATTCTTTCTTCCTTGTTGCTCTAGGTTGTTTAACTTGTAGTCCAAAGAGGCGTTGGACTGTTCAGAATTCCTGGTGTGTTCTTCCAGCTCCTCTGACAGTAATTGATGATGAGTGGTTTGTGTAACGAGGGAAGACAGTGCTTGTGATGAGTGATGTGGACAGTATCACCATGAAAAAGTGTAGGAAAGGAAAAGAATGCAATTTAGCTGACAAGAAAATAAATTAATTGACAGTCGTAAACAAGAATTTTGCAGTGAAAGTTTGTTTGATGTAGAGATCTGGTAGATTAAGAGAACAGGAATACGCGGGAATTGAAATTATATTTGTGTATGGATTTGGGATGTTTTATTAAGAAACACATGATATTTTAATAATAAATTTGTTCAAACCCTCCGGTGATCTATCAATAATTATCCTGGAACTATTAACATCGAAACATAAAAACGCCCAACCATTATTATCTGTATGACATCTTTGTGAATTCTATTAACGTTATGAATGATTGCGTAGAACACAGCCTAGTCTAGGATATACCCTTAAGGCTATTCAGGGCCTAAATAAATAGAAATACATCTCAAGACGTTGTCATGGCTCAATAAATCTCTGTAACTTATTGGTGAAATAAAACACATGGGCTGGTTAAAATCTTTAGCTGTATCTAAATTTCAAATTGTGTTTTAATCATAACGGTGTAATAAAACGCCACTTATACTTATTAAGATGTTCGTAATTTTTCTTCCTGCTGTCGCGACAACACGAGCTCGGCAAGTCACGTTTTTGCTTATGTATTATCTTTCCCGTCGGATTGAGATCCAACTTTCTTACCTAGATTCGCTGTTAACACACATTACGGCCAGTTCCTGAGGGTGTGGCTCTCTCTCGCTGGTGGAGGTAATTGCTAGAAGTATATGCCGCTGTCTATTTAAACACATATGATATTGATCAGCTAGTAGATAATTTCATTAGCAATGGGATATATTATAATGGTCGGTTCGAGCTAAATTCCCCCTTTGACACGTACCGGTCTAATCAATACTGCTGGCTAGCAATGTCCGACATTTGAACTTCAGTAAAGATCGAGACAGGATGTTCAGAAAATTATCTGAAGCCATCCTGGTCATCATTTGTATGCACTGTGTAATGCCACAGGACCCCTGTCAGCAGGACAAGAATTGCTTCTTACCAAACTGTTTTTGTAGTACATTTAATCACCAAATGAATCCAAGTGATATTCCACAGATAGTGTATTTTGGATTTGACGATGCGGTAAACATAGGCATGGCCGGTCATTATGATTATCTTTTCTTGAAGGATAACATTACCAATCCGAACGGCTGTCCAGTCAGTATCACACTGTTCGTTTCCGACAAATACACGGATTATTCCATAGTGAAAAGGTATCATGACGTTGGGTTTGAACTAGGTGTTCATAGTGTTACACATTCACATCTAAATTCGGGACAAAAAGTCCGAAACGAAGCTGAAGAACAGAGAGATAATTTGATCACCAAAGCTGGAGTTTCAAAGGAGGAAGTCATAGGATGGAGGAGTCCGTTTCTCACAACGGCAGGCGACCAACAGATAGATGCCCTGAAACAGCTCGGTTTCAAGTACGATATTTCACTGCAGTACGTTAAAAACAAAATTGACGACGATGATGTTTGGCCTTTTACGATGGATTTTGGCTGGCCCTTCAAATGTAACAATAACAGATGTCCAAAACAACACCACAAAGGATTCTGGCAGGTACCTCTCAATGCCTTAATGGACTTTAAACATCAGTATGGGTGTTCTTTTGTTGACGGGTGTCGGAATGTTCCGAGTAATGAAGAGGAGACTTATAAATTCATTATGGACAACTTCTACAGTCATTATAACGGCAACAGAGCTCCTTTAGGATTAAATATGCACGCTGCCTATTTTGAGACCAGTTATAAGCGAGAAGGTATGAGGAGAGCGATACGAAACATGACACAGTATGAAGACGTATATATCGTTAATGTCAAACAGATGTTAGAATGGATGGAAAAGCCCACAACAATATCAGAAATTAGAACATTTGATGGTTTTGGGTGCTGGCCACGTAAACAATCTAAGAAACCATTCCTGCACATATTTTTAATTGTAGTTCCATTTTCTACTTTAGTCATTCTTTGCATTGTACTGCTTCTATTAACTTGTAGAAACTTATCCCGCAGATTTAGAAACAATGATTATGTTATCTTGAATGGTAAAGAGCATATTGAAAAACTGGTGAATGGCAGCGATGACACAGACTTATGACGTCAACACAAAAACAGGTCGTTGTCAATGACGACGTAGACTTATGACGTCAATATGAAAAAGAAAACCGTGATCGTTGGTAGTGATGACGTAGACTCACGACGTCAATATGAAAAAAACTGGTGAATGGCAGCCATGACACAGACTTATGACGTCAACACAAAAACAGGTCGTTGTCAATGACGACGTAGACTTACGACGTCAATATTTTAAAACGCTCAGTGGTAGTGATGACGTAAACCTCTGACGTCATTATTAACACAGAACCGCCGTCATTCCGTTAGATAATGCTTCAGCTTTTAAAGAAACATACATGTACTCGAGCTAACTCGAATATATAGATTTCTTATCTCATCGGACTAACGACGGCACTTGTCATCTCAGCCTCGGAATGACGTGCTGTCTTTAAGGAAAACGTACACGTGTTTATACATGTATATATACATTTTGATTATCAATAGAAGAATCTTTTATACCCACTAAAGCAATGAATGCTATTGGTTTAAACAATATTTTATTTTCAGATTTTCATTTACAACATACACATACACAAATTATAAAATTGAAAATGGATCTGGCAACAAGATTATAAATCTTATATTAAGCCATCTCCAAATGAATGCTATTGTTACTATTGCAGCTAGTATTTCACCAGGGTAACATAGGTATCCATAATACAACATATCTCATATAAAGGATGTGTTATACAATATAATGACTGTTTAATTTAATATAATAAAATCAATTTTTTTGTTTAATTTTCAATTTTTCAAGCCTTTCCTTCTTCCCTTATTTCTTTTTCAATATTTTGCTTTCAGTTTATGACTTATTATATAATGTACAAAAGGTCATGCAAAGGTGAAATATCTATTAATTTTTGAAATGACACTAAATTGGTCGATGTATCTGAAACATAATTATCTCCCTTTGTTGAATGTAAGCCATTCTCAAAATGAACAACCTCGCTAGGAATACGATTGAATGCAACACACTTAAAAATTGCGTATTCATAAAAATACATTCATCTGTTAATCAATTCTTTCCAATTAATTTATATTTTCCCTGTCACCATTTGATCAATATTCAATCTGTTGTAGCTGTCATTCATCAACAACAGAACCGGGATACCGACAGCGATAGAACCAAGAATACTCCAATTTTGCCAAGCTGTACCTGTAACGTACATAGAATTTATTAATGTAAACATGTTTAATTTATTACATAAAATCATTCAAATATTTAAAATGACTCTATTGTTAAAATTTAAATGTTGATTCAAGGCCACATATAAACTGTGACGTTGCCAATAAGAGTGGATAGCATCATATTAATTTTGAATCAATCTTATAAATTCTGTTTGCTCAGTTTTGTGTGAAACAAAATTATAAATTATAAAACAGCTCGGTTTCAAGTACGATATTTCACTGAAGTACGTTAAAAACAAAATTGACGACGATGATGTTTGGCCTTTTACGATGGATTTTGGCTGGCCCTTCAAATGTAACAATAACAGATGTCCAAAACAACACCACAAAGGATTCTGGCAGGTACCTCTCAATGCCTTAATGGACTTTAAACATCAGTATGGGTGTTCTTTTGTTGACGGGTGTCGGAATGTTCCGAGTAATGAAGAGGAGACTTATAAATTAATTATGGACAACTTCTACAGTCATTATAACGGCAACAGAGCTCCTTTAGGATTAAATATGCACGCTGCCTATTTTGAGACCAGTTATAAGCGAGAAGTTATGAGGAGAGCGATACGAAACATGACACAGTATGAAGACGTATATATCGTTAATGTCAAACAGATGTTAGAATGGATGGAAAAGCCCACAACAATATCAGAAATTAGAACATTTGATGGTTTTGGGTGCTGGCCACGTAAACAATCTAAGAAACCATTCCTGCACATATTTTTAATTGTAGTTCCATTTTCTACTTTAGTCATTCTTTGCATTGTACTGCTTCTATTAACTTGTAGAAACTTATCCCGCAGATTTAGAAACAATGATTATGTTATCTTGAATGGTAAAGAGCATATTGAAAAACTGGTGAATGGCAGCGATGACACAGACTTATGACGTCAACACAAAAACAGGTCGTTGTCAATGACGACGTAGACTTATGACGTCAATATGAAAAAGAAAACCGTGATCGTTGGTAGTGATGACGTAGACTCACGACGTCAATATGAAAAAAAACTGGTGAATGGCAGCCATGACACAGACTTATGACGTCAACACAAAAACAGGTCGTTGTCAATGACGACGTAGACTTACGACGTCAATATTTTAAAACGCTCAGTGGTAGTGATGACGTAAACCTCTGACGTCATTATTAACACAGAACCGCGGTCATTCCGTTAGATAATGCTTCAGCTTTTAAAGAAACATACATGTACTCGAGCTAACTCGAATATATAGATTTCTTATCTCATCGGACTAACGACGGCACTTGTCATCTCAGCCTCGGAATGACGTGCTGTCTTTAAGGAAAACGTACACGTGTTTATACATGTATATATACATTTTGATTATCAATAGAAGAATCTTTTATACCCACTAAAGCAATGAATGCTATTGGTTTAAACAATATTTTATTTTCAGATTTTCATTTACAACATACACATACACAAATTATAAAATTGAAAATGGATCTGGCAACAAGATTATAAATCTTATATTAAGCCATCTCCAAATGAATGCTATTGTTACTATTGCAGCTAGTATTTCACCAGGGTAACATAGGTATCCATAATACAACATATCTCATATAAAGGATGTGTTATACAATATAATGACTGTTTAATTTAATATAATAAAATCAATTTTTTTGTTTAATTTTCAATTTTTCAAGCCTTTCCTTCTTCCCTTATTTCTTTTTCAATATTTTGCTTTCAGTTTATGACTTATTATATAATGTACAAAAAGTCATGCAAAGGTGAAATATCTATTAATTTTTGAAATGACACTAAATGGGTCGATGTATCTGAAACATAATTATCTCCCTTTGTTGAATGTAAGCCATTCTCAAAATGAACAACCTCGCTAGGAATACGATTGAATGCAACACACTTAAAAATTGCGTATTCATAAAAATACATTCATCTGTTAATCAATTCTTTCCAATTAATTTATATTTTCCCTGTCACCATTTGATCAATATTCAATCTGTTGTAGCTGTCATTCATCAACAACAGAACCGGGATACCGACAGCGATAGAACCAAGAATACTCCAATTTTGCCAAGCTGTACCTGTAACGTACATAGAATTTATTAATGTAAACATGTTTAATTTATTACATAAAATCATTCAAATATTTAAAATGACTCTATTGTTAAAATTTAAATGTTGATTCAAGGCCACATATAAACTGTGACGTTGCCAATAAGAGTGGATAGCATCATATTAATTTTGAATCAATCTAATAAATTCTGTTTGCTCAGTTTTGTGTGAAACAAAATTATAAATTCGTTTCCATTCCAGGTGAGATTGATGAAACTCAATATAAGGTGTTCTCTTTAGCGTCGTTAAAAACTAGTTTTAAAAAAATCATTAATTTTTACATCAATCTCATATAAATGAGAACCTGCTGTAAGCACTTAAAAAAACGAAAAGGAATGACGTGGAAAGAATATATAGCAGGATAGAAAGATCGTATATCAGACACATAAGTGAAGGGCACCTGTAAGTCATTCAGAGTCAGATGGAGTATAGACAAACAGTGAATTAAATCGCATCATACAGCTATTTTGTCCTGGTCAAAACTTTTGAGTAAAGGAGACGACTAAGTAAAATCCAAAGTGATAGAAAGAAAAGTCAAAATCTAGGCGGGGAGGTACAGCAGCCCAATAATTAAATACATTCGCATATATCCGATGACTTTAAGTCCGCCAACAGTATTTACCACCTACTATCTCAAAGATTGTATAAACGATACAAAAGGAAATTACACCTTTTAATAATTTAGAGTTAGATACAATGGTGCCAAACAGTGAATCAAACTGCTTCATACGGCTGTTTCGTCCTTCCAAGACTAATTACAGACAATTATATATATATTTCACTAATCCGGAACATCACGTCTTATTTTCCTTATACATTTTACAAGAATTTCCGTGCAAATTTTTCTTTTGTTTATTTTCTACACTAGTTTGATTGAATTTGAATTTGGAGTGTGATTATGTTGACATGTTAGTATTCTCTTGGTGTTTTCATGTTTTATTTTTATCAACTATTTTCCCTTCAACAATGAACGCTATGAAGGGGCAAGATGAAAGTTTTAAAACCAATTCTTACTGTAACCAAATAAGAGTGACAAGTATATCCGTTTTGTATGTGAGAGAGGTAATATAGGTTTTAAAATACGACAGGTTAACATCGTAAACATAACACAATCATGTGAAGAATCCTTCTCGACACCGACAGGACTTTCAACAAAGATGTTTTTTGAAGGGGGGGGGGGGGGGGGGGTTGGGGGGGGTGGGGGTGGGGGGGTGGGGGGGGGGGGTTGGGGGGGTTATTATCAACTACGATATGTCCCCATTTGAACTAGAGGATTTTAGATTAAATTCAATAGTTTTCATCGTCAAAATCCTGCAACATTATCATGCTATTTAGCTGTAATGTTTGGTCATTTTGACTTCAAAATAAAATATTCACGTATTAAATCATTTAATTATGATATGTATTTGACTTAACTGTAAGGATAACCTTAAGTGATTTCTTAACTTGAGGAGTTGTTGTATATATATATATATACATACTCTATTGTTTACAATGTATTAATTTCAATGCTTCTTATGTGTATATGTGTGTACAAACGCACAATTATTTTCTGCAATGTCAATGTATATATGTTCTTTTTGTATAACTCTTCACATTTGGAGGAAATAAAAGAAATAATAATAATAACAAGTTCATACACGATACATAAAACATTTAACAATTGTCGTTAATTACAAAAACTGAAAACTATACAGTCGGCCTACTGCAATCTATATTCTTAATTCAATGTGGTCTGTTTGAAGTGGTTCCTTGGAGAAACAAACACTGAAAATGATACCAGAGAAACTTACCAAGGCCTAGTTCCCTCTTCTTTATATGTCCCTGTAATTTACGGTCGCAACACAATGATTTACATTAATGCATCAAACAACCGTGGTATTAGGCCAGTGATATCACAAAGTTTCAAACAATGGAAAGTGTAAGTTAAAAGTCAATGGAATCTAAGTATATAGGGTGTAAAGGATTGGATCATCTTGGACGAGGCACCTAAACCAGATATAGTCGTGTCCCGTTTTTTTTTCTTCTATTTCTAATTAAATGAATTATACTCTACTTTTCGTTGTCATACATCATTACGTAAATTATACCAAGCTTAAGGGGCGGAACCACTTTTAGCGGACGTCTGTGATTGGATACCTGGGACTATATAAACATCACATCATTTTGACTAAAATATAGCATTATAAAAAATCTTGGATTTTTTTTTTATATAACTTTACTTATTTGGTGTAAAGGTGGCACCTCAGTCAATAACATATCATATTTCAGAGCAACCCATACAAATCAGTAAATATCTCCATCAATAAATGGAATACGCTTAATAAATTAATATAGACCTAATAAAGATATGCATACTGTCGTCAATTATATTTACAGAAAACATCAAGAAAATACCAACATCAATAAGGCAGAAGAAGGCAGTATGTAAACACAAACCTTACAATGGTAGGGGACTGGAATGTAGTACAGGATATCAATATGGACATAATATTATACAGGACAGTCATACACTAAGTAGGAATATATGGAATATTTACAGTTTACTTGATATTTGGAGAATACTGAGAAAAGTCTATACACATAGCAGAGAAGTATCCAATTAACCAAAGTCAATAAGAATATCAATCTCACAAGAAGTTCTTGCCATAATTATTAACTCTAGTATAATGCTTGGTTATAGAACTGACCATTCATTGGTATAGATTGGACTTGTATCAACAAAGAAAAAAAAAAACAGGTAAAGGGTAATAGAAATTCAGTTTTGTGTTACTTAAAGATAAATCATGGGTAAATTTGACAAACCATTTAAGACACTACTGAACATAAAATTGCAGGTGCTAGGAAATTATAAATAAAGACAGAATTGAGAGTAAATGATCAGAAAAGATAAAAAGAATACTGAACAAAAAACAATTTAGAAAATTTAATAGATATGCAACTTACTGACCAATGATACGCAGATTTAGAATAATCAAAACATTAATGATGTTAAATTAATGATTCCTTTCTTGATCAATTTGTTTGTAGATTATTGTTCTGGGTGCCTGTCAAGTACAGTGAATGACTGCTGAAGATTTATTAAGATATAACAACCTGCAGATTCTCCCTTTCAATGACGTAAAAAGTTTCTACAATATTTAGAATTTGCTTGTAAAATATTAAATGATAAGTTGTATAAGAAGAAAACAAAAAGGTTGAAAAGGTACGAATTTATTTTAAAAACTCTACGAAAGTAAATCAACAACAAATTTTTAAAAAATACCAGCATGTCAATAAAATCATAATTCAAACCAAAATTCAAGAAAAGTAGGGCAAAGTATGAACAAAAGACAGATTTTCACGGAGACCCCTGAAAAAGTTCAAGGAAAATTATCGACCAGGTGTTCTGGAAAAGTAAACGTCTTCTGCTTCATCGACGACAGCCACCATGTAAATCTTGGTTAATTCCAAGTAAGTAATGTCACGTTCTCAAATGAGAATAAGGTATACAACAAGAGAACCAACAGGCAAGCCAACGAGCATCAAAATGCGTACAGCTTTACGTCGCACAAAGAAATAGACTGTTTCTCTGTTGGATCATTATGATGATCGTAAAACTTCCCCATAATTTTCATCGACCTGCATCTTTTAGGACCCCGTGTTACGAGTTTGTTCGTCAGTTTGATATCAAATCAACTGCGACATGCTAACATAGGTTGGGATGCAAGAGGTTGTTATCCAAAATGGAAAATTCACAATAAGGATATAGAAATCATCGCGCTTATCATACAGCTTGGTGGAAATCTGTCCATGTTGGTGTTGTTAGTTTTTAGAAAATATCGAGATATGCAAATTTGCACAGCCAAAATGCAAGATTGCCGCCGTCGGTCATTTTATTTTCTTGACCAGTCATTTAAAAGGGTAATATAAGAGATCAACGGGAACCTACATATGACAAATTAAGAAATATCCATCTAGTGCTGTTTAAAGATAGCCATCAGAAGAATTTTAAGGAAGGGCGACTGACAAATGAACCAATGATCATGGTCGCTGGACAATTTGATCAGTTTATCTACTGTTAATATGCTGAACATGATGGCAATTCCAGGAGATATACAATATACAATTCACCTCCACCACGAAAACAAATAATTTTACAGTATGTGATTTTCATATATGATTGATTCTGTTAATTAGTAACTCACCAATGTTTGGAATCATTTGCAACCCCAGAAATACAAGCCCAACAGTATTGAGCCACATCAGCATAACGACAGTGGTGATACCTTCTGCGATTGGGTAGGTAATCTCGCAAGCCATCTCAAACCATAACGGGACAGTGGCGTTCACCAGTAGGGTACCCGTTATGATGGAGACATATATCTGTGCTGAAATGCACCACATAGTATACATGAGACCATCTGGTTAGGAACTAATTCTTTGAAGACAAGATTACAGTAAATATTAAAACAATATGATTAAAGTAATCTTAATGTCAGTTTAGAACCAATATAATGACAGCTTGAAATTAACGAATGGATATATCAAAAACGTTTTGAGTTGCCGGGTTTAACGAATTAAAAATTTGGTGATTCACTAATCCACAGAAAAAGGGACATTTTGATTGGTCAATAACAGATGACCATACCTAACAGGTATACTGCTCCGTCAGATCTTCATGCAAGGAGGTTCAAAGTGAAATGAATGGTATACTTTAATGGAGTTAATTTATAATTTAAAAAATGATTAAATGATTTTTAGACATTTTGAAACCACAGATAAAAAAGAAGCAAAATGAAAATGAACCAGTAAAATCCATCAATATACCTATTACTATATCATGTCGTAATTTTACTTTGGCGATGATTGTTTTAGCCAACATAAAGCCACGTGCGTAACAAAACACTGACGTCATTTCTACGTTATAATAGGAAAATTAGGAGAATTCATAGCGAAAAGATAGTGTGATTATTTGTAAAGTTAAGACTACTAATAATTTTCAGTTGAGAGAAGTTATCATATTTACCTAATGAACTAGGAATAAGGTCTACCAGAATCAGATTGAACCACAGAAAGTCCAGGAATGCCAAGGAATACAACAATATCAAAATTTGCCTGATATTTTTAGAAAATATATCCGAGACTCTGAAAATGAAATAAAATACTCGTTTTAAGCACTGAGTCTATATAATATATGTTAAACAATGTCGTCAATAAGTAAGGTTGGATAGAGAATTTAGTAGATTACCAAAGATTATCGTACATAAAATACAGAGGAGCATAGACCGTAAGATATAAAACTACAGATATAGCTCTCCCCATCACATGATTTTCATACTTGATTGAAGGGTGGGGGTGGGGGATGGGGGGTGGGGGGATGTGTGTGTGTGTGTGTTTGTGTGTGTGTGTGTGGGGGGGGGGCTGCTGAAATAACTTGTTCCGCAATTATTGTGATTTAAAAAAAAGTTTGTATTTATACTCAGAGATGTAAAAACGTAAAGCCAAAGGCAAAATTCGAAAAATGAAGATTTATCAAACACGCCTGTGATATAGAAGGACAAAACATTTTGATCTTTATCCGTGTTTTGGTTGAAATATGATGATATTCCTCATACATAAATGTCAACAAGAAAATGTAAACACATGTTTGACCAGTCAGAAATGATAAAATTTGAGTAAAATATATTATGATCTGATTGGAAAATAGAAACATTTTTGTCAAATTTCAAGACGACGTTTGCAGTGTGGAAGTATTTATATATTCATATTCACATTTAAAATTACATTTTTGTGAGGCTAAAATTTCAAAGTTTAACAAAAATGTGCATTTTCGTTGGCAGTTAAATTGGCGGATAAATCTTGCTCACAAAATCTACAAATAATTAATCCATGTCAACTTTAATCCGTTCATTTCTTCATGGACATGGAAATTCATGGATTCAACGCAAAATAAAATCTCCACGAAAAAAATGATCCAACAATATAGAACAATATCTTTGTAACGCGTTTCGTTAAGGAGAATAAAATATACCAAGGGTCATTTTATACCGTAACTTCAATTTATTACAATAAAAAAGTATTGAAAAGAATATATTCATGATTTCGCTATGTTTAGCATCTTGAACTTAAATTCAACACTCGACAGTTAACAGATGGTAAACAGATGTCTGAATAATGAGTGATCAAGAGGGCCTCCATCACTGCCATCTGAATAGAATATAGCATAATTCAAACTTTCATCTAGGAGCATATGTAGGCGAACTGATTCATATGGAAATAAGAGAATGTCGACATCGTCCCATGGTTCATAACATGTCTCCTTTTTTTACTTCTAATTAAACAAGATATTTACATTAAATAGACTGGTACACATTAAAATAGCTGAATGTTTACACACAATGATGAATACAAATAACGACATTGATTAAGAAGTTCCACTTACCGGGCCATAGCAAGACATCCAAAACATCCGGCAATAATGGAATAAAAACCAATCCATCCAGCTTGTGCCTGAGAGATATTTTCATCATTTAGAAATTCAGAGTACAGTCACTTTTCTCTTCTTCTTCGAGTGACCTTTATAGACAGTTAAACCTGTATACAAAGAACACTCTAGGGAGCAGACAAAAGTGACATTTATAGACAGTTAAACCTGTATACAAAGAACACTCTAGGGAGCAGACAAAAGTGACATTTATAGACAGTCAAACCTGTATACAAAGGACACTCAAGGTAGCAGAGAAAAGTGACCTTTATAGACAGTCAAACCTATAAACAAAGGACACTCAAGGAAGCAGAGAAAAGTGACATTTATAGACAGTTAAACCTGTATACAAAGAACACTCTAGGGAGCAGACAAAAGTGACATTTATAGACAGTCAAACCTGTATACAAAGGACACTCAAGGTAGCAGAGAAAAGTGACCTTTATAGACAGTCAAACCTATAAACAAAGGACACTCAAGGAAGCAGAGAAAAGTGACCTTTATAGACAGTTAAACCGAGTGAAAACGAGTTAACTATATCAGACAATTTTATCTGAACAAAAATAAAACCAACAAAAAAATAAAACTAATGAGAGACCCATGGAACTGAAAAGTAGTCAGAATACATCATCATGATTTCAGGCAAGTTACAACTGAACCCCACCGGAAGAACGCGAAAAGAATTTTGAAATAGATGATTTTCAAGGATAATATGATTGTGCACTCATATTACAAAACTGTCACTATAGGTGCCATATTAAACTATGGACTTCGCTAGCGTCCATTCCGTAACAACACCACCATTGTTCAGCCCAATGGCACCCATGAGACCGGAAAAGAAGTTTAAATATGGCGGCCATGACAGCCATATTCGATTTCAAACTGATCCGAAAAATACCAAGGCATGGTTAAGACCATCTTAGGTTCATTTCAGCTAAATCTAAGTGGTGGAGTTTGAAAAGACGTTAAAAAAGTTAATGGACAAACATGACGGTCCTAGGTCAGAAGACCTAAAATAATCTTAATCGCATCATAAAATCCTTCTATTTTTTCTTTATTTTCTAAGTTTCCTCTTTAATATCGTTCTTTTACGGTTCATTTTTTAACGCAGTTTTAAATAAAACTTGGTGCAAAAGTGATCAATAATTTAACATCATACCAATAGATATGGTCATTTTAGGACGGATTCTCCATGTTTGCGAATTACGTGCAATGGTTTAGGGCGCGCATTTTAGGGAGGCTGCGATATTTCCATGTAAGCCTCCTTCGAAAGTGAGGAATTGAAACCGACTTTTGGACTAGTACAACCACAATTAAGTTTACCGCAGAAGGCATCAAGCAGGAAAACGGGAAAGACCTTACTCAGCAGATATACTCATGTCTCCTTACAGCCGTCAGTGATATTCTGTTTTTTAAGTGTAATGATCATTCGCCTCCATCTTAAATTCGCCTTCCCTCAAGGACGAAAATTAAACGAGGTGGAAAAATTCCCGGAATACCTATAACTAGGATATCACCAGAAGAGGTTAGTGGATTATACTGCCAATGTAGGAATACACCTGCCACATATAGTTTTGATGTATTCGGCAGTCACGGAAAATATCTGTATTTTAGCGCGTGCTCTTAATTCGTCATAATTACTTCCTGAATTTCCTTAAATGTTACTTTCGACAATATAGCATTTGTTATATGTTGAAATATGCGAATTGGTGCGATGAATGAACAAGAAGTTTATTTACAAAATTTCATAGAATAGATGTCATATCCATTGAAGTTTGGAGCTATGTTTTCTTGCGGAGCAATTATATTGGCGTCACATGGCAAAATTCAGGGTAACATCATCGTCAGGTAAACAAAGATTGAACAACAAAACTTTATGTTCTTATTGTCTGGTTTCCAATCAATATTGCATAATAAATAGAATATATGGTCGGTGTTTATGGTCCATAAGCTTTATTATGGCGAAGATGAAGTTAGACAAAAAGTGTTGTGTCAAAATATAGCTTTTAAGACACGGACAATATATTCTATTTATCTGACGCTTATTTACTCAGTGAGAAAACCATAAACAAGTTGTTTGTGTCATTGTAATGGCCTTACCTCCGATACATCATAAGACTTGAGATCGACTGATAACACACCGCCCCATAGTGCTACAATACCTACAGGCAATCCATAGGCAAGGCATAACTGAAGAAACATCTTGTTCCTGCAACAACAGTTCAACATTCAGCTATTTCTATGGTAAACATTTATTATGCTGGTAGAAATTATATGGCAGTACTGACCGTATGCATTTTCCGATGGACAAAAAAGTCTTTATTACATCTTTTATTTTATTTTTTTTTTTTTTTTTGGGGGGGGGGGGGGGGGGGGGGGGAGATTTCTAAATGTGTTTCGATCTGTAATCTGTAACAAGATTTAAGGTTCTCAATTTGTTTCGATCTGTAATCTGTAGACAAGATTTACGGTTCTAAATATCTTTCGATCTGTAATCTGTAGACAAGGTTTCCTGTCCTAAATTTGATTTTTCTGTAATCTGAAGTCAAGGTGTACGGTTCTAAATTTGTTTCGATCTATTATCTGTAGACAAGGTTTACTGTTCTAAATTTGTTTCGATCTGTAATCTGTAGACAAGGTTTACTGTTCTAAATTTGTAATCTGTAGGCAAGATTTACGGTTCTAAATTTGTTTCGATCTGTTATCTGTAGACAAGGTGTACGGTTCTAAATTTGTTTCGATCTATTATCTGTAGACAAGGTTTACTGTTCTAAATTTGTTTCGATCTGTAATCTGTAGACAAGGTTTACTGTTCTAAATTTGTAATCTGTAGGCAAGATTTACGGTTCTAAATTTGTTTCGATCTGTTATCTGTAGACAAGGTTTACGGTTCCAAATTTGTTTCGATCTGTTACCTATATAGAAATTGCACAACAGATCTGTAACATATCAGTATACAAGAACACGTCAACATTTTAGTCATCACGTCAGTATCAAAGACTTAATGAACACTTTAAACAAAAACATTACAACTTCATTTATATCGTACAAAATTATTATAAGATATAATGGAGTTGTGAAATGACTGTCGACCGCTACTATCAAACCTACCTCATCAGTTTTCTAAACCCAGATTTTATGTCCAAACGTTCTTTTGACGCCGTTGTACTTGGTGGCTTCGGCGGTTTGGAGGGGAAGTATACTGCTACCATTAACATTAATAGAAAACACCATCCACATTCTGTCAACACATTTAAAACTATTTTTGAGTTAATAACATAATGTTGTATTAAAAGTATGATACTGTATATACTATATTAAACACGTCGAAGGCTTGTGGTCAAACGATTAGGATTTGGCAAGTGTGTTAAACATCAAAGCTGAATGATCTTATGAGTCTCATCGATGCATTGGGTTTTCTCATTTTAATGAAGAAAGTGCACATAAAACAATCCATAGAAGAGTGAACAATTTCGATCTGATACCTCTTAACACTATGCATAAAATGCCGGCCCCCAAAAAATGAGAACCTTCGAAAACAATAACGTCAGAGGAGAGACAGAGAAGGTCATTAAAAACGTACCGGCGTACATAATTACCATTATCTGGTGACGTATGCGTGGCACGTCTGCATCATCTGTAATAAACATAATAATAACTGACGTCCAAATTTGACAGTTGCAGTCTGAAGATCAGACTCGGCTTGCATTCGTTACTAGAATACTGTCAAGTCATATGTTTTTGTGTGACTCGAATTTCGTGGTTTTTTCATATTTGTTCATGGGCACTTGATGAAGTAGACACATATAATACTTACAACGACTCTGAACTTTTAAACAGTTTGACTCGTGTACATACGAATTTGAATTCGTGGATCACGAATACCCATTAAGTCATAGAAAATAATTTCACCAAGAAAATTATTGATTTCACAGTAATACAAAATGATACGGCCACATGGAAAATAAAGTATAATTCTGTAGCATATTTAAAATTTCGTTTTAAATTAAAAATTTGTTTTTAATTTATTTGAAAGAAAGTTCATATAAACGGACATTTATTTGAAGGTAAAAATTTGAATATCCATTATGACAAATGTAAAAAGCATCAGTACATAAATAAAGATTTAAAAAAAAATGCTTAGATCCTATTTATACATTTGTAATTAAAATATGTTTAAATCAATATTTTTGACGATTCAAACTTTTCCAAAACTGTTAAGACAAAATGTTTTTATTCGCCGAAGCCATGAAACAGACGCTTGTTCCCTTATTGATAGATTTTCTATGCATTTCATTTAGCGACATTGAAAAAAAATTCAATCCGTTCTGCAGAATAAGTATCTATTATGTAACCAACTTTGTCCAATTAAAAGGCTACTAGGTGTAATTGCTGATTCCACCGACATTATATAAGTCTGGTATACTTTTCATTAATTAGTCATACCACTCATCATTGAATTTGTACATAGTCCATAACTATAGAAAGGTATCATCCTCATAAAAAATATTATAAGAACTTCTTTTACATAGAACTATAAATGATACATTGAAGATAAATGGTCTGTAGAATTAAATTTTGTGATTTTTAGTACATGTAAGAAAATCATCAAAATAACTTACCTTGACCAGGTATGAAATTGGAATTGGTTGCCATGGTTATATTTTCTTGTTGAGATACGAGACCGCTAAAACGACATATAAAACAAATACTGAAGTAGGTACGTAACGTGATACGAACATCGTTGATACCAGACATTTACGACCATTACTTTTTTATACCTCATTCACTTTATACTGTAAAATAATGCAATCTTATCCACGAAATCATATGTCCGAACTATGAAATCTTGTCATGAATTGAAGTTTGAGTTGCTTTCGGAATTGCTAACGAAATACTATACTGAAAGGAATAAGAAACGCAATTAGGAATTTCCAGGTCTACTGTGGGAAATAGAAAAGGGTTTTAGAATGTAATTATGGGGTAACTGGAAGATAGTTGACCACTGTCATCTTCGAGAATTTCATTCGTATACGTTAAGTAAACCTTTCAAATTTGACGTTGATTCAAGAGTACCCCACTCAAAATGAGTACGCACTGTATTTGGATGAATTGGAACATGATGACGCCCAATTGTGTTCCTTGCTGTTCCGTGGCCGTCAGAAAGCGATTGCGTAGGTGCGAAAGTCGCATTGCCCTATCCTGCCGACGCGTCGTCACACAAGGGCGACCGCTTCGGGTACGGTCTGCAACCCTTCCGTTGGCATGCAGTCTTTGGATGAGACGGCAAATGTTCGATGGAGGGACTCCAAATTGATTAGCGACCTGATTGTGCGGGGTACCTTGCATAAGAAGTGCAATGGCACGACCGCTGTCAACTTCGGACAGTCGTGGCATTTTTAACGGTGAACTGTTTATGCTTAAAATGTGGGAAATCAAGACGAATATGTCTGAAGATTCGCACACACAGATTTTGAACCAATCCTTTATACTGGGTTCGAGATATCCTGCGTTTGTCTCTTTTTCTTTTGTACAAGCGGCGTGCGCAGTTTAGTAATGCATCAGTGATTTTGATACGGTACCATATGGACCTAACTCAAATGCACACATTTGTCAAGTTTCAAGGGTGTACGTCAATGATTTAATTTACAAAATGAACTTTAAGCTAATTGCGTATCTTTTTCCTCTCAGTATATTTCAAGAATGAAATTTGAGTCCATGAAAATACACGATGTTATAGTATGATCACAAACACATCAGATTTTTGTCTTTGGTTTTTGTATTTTCTTCACGCTACCAGACAATTTATCACCAATTCCAGTTAAAGGGACTAAATAGATAAATTTCGTTATTTTTGTTCATGCATTCGATTTCGGGCAAATCTTGAAATACTTAAATTAGACTAATCACATAATCATAACCATTTTGAGAGAAAAAAAGACAAACATTATCAGCTTCAAACTAACACTGGTCAACACTCACTGGTGTGTCTACAGTCATTCGCTAGTTTGATCGGAGATAGCAGAGCCACGTGGTCTTTCGGAGCCTCGTTTTAATTTGTTTCTTAATTTGCATGCGTAAAGACATAGTCTACACTTTGTAAACGATGATCCGTATGAATTAGTGTTTGCTCGCTCCTGTTTTATCTTATTGACGTTTTTAATAAAATGCTTATACATATTTTTAAATATTGTAATTAACAGAAAGTGCACCACTTCTAATATACATTAAAATGTTACAATGTTTTTTATCAGTTATAAAATGAAAATCTGACCATCTATTCCCTTTAAACGGTCAAACTGTCTCCATTTGACCGATCCAATTAAAATATTAACAAAATATCAATGGAATATTTTGAAATAATACAGTACTAAAATTCATGAACTTTATTTAATTGTGGTGCTATTGTACCTCCCCAACCGATTCTTTAACATTCTATTCGACTAATGTTTCTTATTCGCGACCTAGGTTTCAACATATTAGACCCCTGATATCACTGAAAAGTCCCAGCAGGACGAAACAGCTGATTGATGGAGTTTAATACATTATTTGTTTCTATTGTATCTAATAGAAATGTACTGAAAGGTGCAACTTTGGACTTACTTATTAATCTATTTATTTTCTAGGGTTTTTTTGTTTTGATTTTTTCTTTCGATAATTCAAAATCTTAACCTAGAATTTAAAACAATAGAAACATTAACACAATAGAACTACTCACATGTCCGTTGTGTTCGTGTCACTGTAACTTGCAAACAAAGGACCTAGAACATCAATGTATGTAATTCGTAAAGCGCATTAAGTTGACCTGTCAGCTTTACCTTTGTCATATCATTACATGTCGCTATCTACTCTACTCTATAATCTAACAATTAACCAGTGAGTTTTCCCCATAAAGACTGTGATCGCTCAAATGTTATATTCCAGGGACAGTTCAGCGTGTTAGTTGTTTCTGAAAAGTGTACGTTAACCGTGGATTACTAGACATATGATATAGAATTCACGCTATAAATAAGGATCATAGGTTTTTCTATGAAGTTATTGTAAGATCTTGTTTGAGTGCCTCCTCTGAATTTACACCAGATGTAATTCTTTTACTCTTATTTCTACTTGTGGAATACTGGTCTGTCGTGGGAAACACACCCAGAATCACGGTTGTTGTATTACACACCTGCCTATGCGATACAGACAAATGTGGTGGGTCCTAATTGATCAGCTGATACGATGTATCATTGTGTACAGATAATTATTTGCAGTGACTTTTAATATTTTGTTTTACATGACTAACTTTATTTGCCACATCAAGGTACGCCAATGAAAAGTTATCGTGTCAGTGCATAATTTACAAAAAAATGATTTTTAATGAAATTGCATCCTTTTTAATACAATGTCGACGTCTGAAGTTATTTTTTCCAATATTTTACCATGAGAAATGAGAGAAAAATATTATTCCATATGCCGGGGTGAAGGATAGGATATTTCATCCTCGATGTCACAAAATGTTGTAAAACTTTTGGCAAAGAGTTTGACGCCATTTTGTGTCCTCTCCGGTGTAATATCCCTATCCTACACCCCGACACAAGAAAAAGTTGATAATCTCACTCGATATATAACAGCTGAAGGCAAAAATGAAAATGATAAAAACACATAAAACTTTCCCTTCAATCTACGACTGAAAGAATCAAAATCCCTACGCCAAAATCTATGGACTGTCTGTTTAGAATTTTAAACTAAATTAAATTAGATTTTTGTTTTTTGTTTGTACTTTTCTGTTTCAAAATTAGTTAAAATTTTATGTTCTATCACATTACAATAGACCAAATTATCCAATCATCTATTTTTGCGGGCTGTTCTGTAGTCGTAGGAAGACACACATTCTTTAAATAGATAGCGAAGACTCTAATTGTACAATATTAATCAGCATCTTTCCTATTATCGATCCATTGGTGTGCTTGAATTGTTTCATAGCGTGTTAATTTTTAACTTATGTCTTTAAAGGAAATATGAACGGTTTAAATTCAGCGAAAAATATGTTCACAACAGACAAATATATCGTTGTACCTATGAGGAATGCAGCTGCGACACCTCCGTAGTTACACAGTGTTGCTATGGCAGTCGATGTGGTTCGTTGGTTTGGCGGGAACCATGTAGCGGACAAAACAGGTGGCATCCCCATCGATATCGGACCTGCTAATCCATTTAGAAAGGCGGCTATGTTTGACGTCCTGTAAATAAATTACTATTGAGGTCAGTTAAAAACCACCAAAAACATCAGCATTATCCAAACTTATTCCAATGCTGAGGTTGTGTGTTTCTTAAGAAATAAAGTAATTAAGGTTGAATTATTTTTCAGAACAAAACAAGTAAACACCGAAGATTCAAATTGGATAAAACAGCATGTCTCCATTATCAAATATCTTAAATGAATTTCAAAACTGTAAAATTAATTCACATAATACTGATTATAAGTTTTATCTTCGAAAAATTAAAAACTCGACAATAAAATACTGGTAACTAATATCCGCCGCCGGACGCTGCGTTAGTACGTCAATAATTTTAAGTAAATGTACCACGTGATGTACGGAGGCTCTGACGTAAAACATCGTATGGTCGAAGCAACTGTTACTAGCGCTGCTGTCAGAAGACAACACATCCGTATACCTACAGTGAAAAATTCATACATTAATTTTGAAGACACATGTTATCAACAAAAGTTTCAATAATAACCCAAGAATTATTGAAGTAAAAATCTCAGCATCTGTGAGAACAAACAAATAGTTGTTTCTTTTTGCTAAGCTTTCTGTTCAACACGCAGGAATAGCAATCTTCAATTGAGACAAAAACATGTTCTTGGAATTACATTAAACAATAATTAAATATTTTCATCCAAATGATCTTTTTCGCAACGGGTTAAAGAATTCTTAATCCTACACAAGTATTTGAACGAAATAAATGTATGACGTCACACTAGATATCATAGTGGTTTCAAAACATCACCAAATAATATTGTATACCTGTCATTATTGCTGGTACATTATTGATTGTTCTTTACGTCACCGATATAAACTGACTGAAATTTGAAGACAATAATATCTTTTGCCTTTGATTGTTAGTAAATCTGTCATACCTTTGACGTCCATACTCCATGACGACAGCCATCCCGCCAGTAATGACCCAATAGGCCCCCAGTTAGGGAGCAGTGCTATAATGGTATTGTCCCAGCCAAAAGCCTTTTCACAAGACACGGCTATCGGTCCCCATGTGTTCCATACAGCGGCCTGGGTAAAGGTGAGGAGAGAGAAGACAACCAAGATATACCATCGCCGTCCGTACACTTCAATGTATTGTCCGTCTTCTTTCTGATCTACAATCTCTCCATCTGTCCGATCGTTTGGTTTGCCACCTTTCAGATCAATGGTATCGTCTTGGTGAGTGCGAGTGTGGCCGTTTTTCAGTGCTTTTAATTCAAATGACACTACCGTGTCTCCAAGTTGGGAAGAAGGCTTAGAATTATAAGCATTTTGTATGTAGTCACTCTGAAACTCTTTGGGTTGATCAGTCGATTTAGAATAAGGAGCTACTTTGTACAGTCCTTTCACCATGGTAACATGTAACTGATATAAGATAATAGTGTCTTATACATTATACATTTCAACAATAATATAATTTCTTTTCACCATGCCTACTTGTTAATAATACAAAAAATACAATGTTTTACAAATTGTACCTTCATATAACACTATAAACTCTTCTCGTCATATCCACATGTAATCGATACAAATAAAAGCGTCCTATTTCTGAAAAATTCTTATTGTCGAAGAGTTACTGTAGAATTCTTATTATCGTGGAGTTACTGTAGAATTGTTATTACCGAGGAGTTACTGTAGAATTGGTATTATCGTGGAGTTACTGTAGAATTGTTATCATCGTGGAGTTACTGTAGAATTGTTATCATCGTGGAGTTACTGTAGAATTGTTATTTTCGAGGAGTTACTGTAGAATTGTTCTTATCGAGGAATTACTGTAGAATTGTTATTATCGAGGAATTATTGTAGAATTGTTATTACCGAGGAGTTACTGTAGAATTGGTATTATCGTAGAGTTATGATAGAATTGTTATTTTCGAGGAGTTACTGTAGAATTATTATTATCGTGGAGTTATGATAGAATTGTTATTTTCGAGGAGTTACTGTAGAATTGTTATTATCATGGAGTTACTGTAGAATTGTTATTACCGAGGAGTTACTGTAGAATTGTTATTACCGAGGAGTTACTGTAGAATTGGTATTATCGTAGAGTTATGATAGAATTGTTATTTTCGAGGAGTTACTGTAGAATTATTATTATCGTGGAGTTATGATAGAATTGTTATTTTCGAGGAGTTACTGTAGAATTGTTATTATCATGGAGTTACTGTAGAATTGTTATTACCGAGGAGTTACTGTAGAATTGTTATTACCGAGGAGTTACTGTAGAATTGTTATTATCGAGGAGTTACTGTAGAATTGTTATCATCGTGGAACTACTGTAGAATTGTTCTTATCGAGGAGTTACTGTTGAATTGTTATCATCGACGAGTTACTGTAGAATTGGTATTATCGTGGAGTTATGATAGAATTGTTATTATCGACGAGTTACTGTAGAATTGTTATTATCGAGGAGTTACTGTAGAATTGTTATCATCGTGGAACTACTGTAGAATTGTTATTATCGAGGAGTTACTGTAGAATTGTTATTATCGAGGAGTTACTGTAGAATTGTTATTATCGAGGAGTTACTGTAGAATTGTTATCATCGTGGAACTACTGTAGAATTGTTCTTATCGAGGAGTTACTGTTGAATTGTTATCATCGACGAGTTACTGTAGAATTGGTATTATCGTGGAGTTACTGTAGAATTGTTATTTTCGAGGAGTTACTGTAGAATTGCTATTATCGACGAGTTACTGTAGAATTGTTATTATCGAGGAGTTACTGTAGAATTGTTATTATCGAGGAGTTACTGTAGAATTGTTATCATCGTGGAACTACTGTAGAATTGTTATTATCGAGGAGTTACTGTAGAATTGTTATTATCGAGGAGTTACTGTAGAATTGTTATTATCGAGGAGTTACTGTAGAATTGTTATTATCGAGGAGTTACTGTAGAATTGTTATTATCGAGGAATTATTGTAGAATTGTTATTACCGAGGAGTTACTGTAGAATTGGTATTATCGTAGAGTTATGATAGAATTGTTATTTTCGAGGAGTTACTGTAGAATTATTATTATCGTGGAGTTATGATAGAATTGTTATTTTCGAGGAGTTACTGTAGAATTGTTATTATCGTGGAGTTACTGTAGAATTGTTATTACCGAGGAGTTACTGTAGAATTGTTATTACCGAGGAGTTACTGTAGAATTGTTATTATCGAGGAGTTACTGTAGAATTGTTCTGATCGAGGAGTTACTGTTGAATTGTTATCATCGACGAGTTACTGTAGAATTGGTATTATCGTGGAGTTATGATAGAATTGTTATTATCGACGAGTTACTGTAGAATTGTTATTATCGAGGAGTTACTGTAGAATTGTTATCATCGTGGAACTACTGTAGAATTGTTATTATCGAGGAGTTACTGTAGAATTGTTATTATCGAGGAGTTACTGTAGAATTGTTATTACCGAGGAGTTACTGTAGAATTGTTATTACCGAGGAGTTACTGTAGAATTGTTATTACCGAGGAGTTACTGTAGAATTGTTATTATCGAGGAGTTACTGTAGAATTGTTATCATCGTGGAACTACTGTAGAATTGTTCTTATCGAGGAGTTACTGTTGAATTGTTTTCATCGACGAGTTACTGTAGAATTGGTATTATCGTGGAGTTACTGTAGAATTGTTATTTTCGAGGAGTTACTGTAGAATTGCTATTATCGACGAGTTACTGTAGAATTGTTATTGTCGAGGAGTTACTGTAGAATTGTTATTATCGAGGAGTTACTGTAGAATTGTTATCATCGTGGAACTACTGTAGAATTGTTATTATCGAGGAGTTACTGTAGAATTGTTATTATCGAGGAGTTACTGTAGAATTGTTATTATCGAGGAGTTACTGTAGAATTGTTATTATCGAGGAGTTACTGTAGAATTGTTATCATCGTGGAACTACTGTAGAATTGTTCTTATCGAGGAGTTACTGTAGAATTGTTATTATCGAGGAGTTACTGTAGAATTGTTATTATCGAGGAGTTACTGTAGAATTGGTATTATCGTAGAGTTATGATATAATTGTTATTTTCGAGGAGTTACTGTAGAATTGTTATTATCGGGGAGTTATTGTAGAATTGTTATTATCGACGAGTTACTGACTGAATGTAGGATACTTAGGTCAGCACTCTTACCGACCGAGGTAAATAAAGGATACTGACTGAATGTAAGATACTCAGGTCAGCACTCTTACCGACTGAGGTAAATAAAGGATACTGACTGAATGTAGGATACTTAGGTCAGCACTCTTACCGACTGAGGTAAATAAAGGATACTGACTGAATGTAAGATACTTAGGTCAGCACTCTTACCGACTGAGGTGAATAAAGGATACTGACTGAATGTAAGATACTCAGGTCAGCACTCTTACCGACTGAGGTAAATAAAGGATACTGACTGAATGTAAGATACTCAGGTCAGCACTCTTACCGACTGAGGTAAATAAAGGATACTGACTGAATGTAGGATACTTAGGTCAGCACTCTTACCGACTGAGGTAAATAAAGGATACTGACTGAATGTAAGATACTCAGGCCAGCACTCTTACCGACTGAGGTAAATAAAGAATACTGACTGAATGTAGGATATTTAGGTCAGCACTCTGACCGACCGAGGTAAATAAAGGATACTGACTGAATATTGGATACTCAGGCCAGCACTCTTACCGACTGAGGTAAATAAAGGATACTGACTGAATGTAAGATACTCAGGCCAGCACTCTTACCGACTGAGGTAAATAAAGGATACTGACTGAATGTAAGATACTTACTAAATCAGGAATAGAAACTAAACACAGAGCAAGATATTAATAGTTACACGACAGAGCATTATACCATATAGTTGGGCCTGTTGTATGTTGATATCCAAGCGGCTTTGTTAAAACGACTTGATAACGCGCAGTTAGTGAGGAAATACCTGACCGTAAAGAAGATATTTCTCTTTATCAGTATCTTTAATATCTTTTAAACATATCACTAAATATTCATGTTTCCGGCAATAATTCAATGTTGGTATCATCAATTACTACATAAAACGCATTAAAGCATCCCATTTGTAAAATATTTTTAAAAATCAAGGACATATTTTGTTTATATAAGATACAAGAAACTCACCTTGAAATGTCCTCCTTATTAGTAACAGAAAGCTGGAAGAGCACCAGACTCAGTTACTGTAGGATATTTATATTGGATATATAAAACTCTTCTAAAAAGAAAAGCTTTAATATCATAAGATAACGTTTAACCTTTGACCTAGATGTAAATGAATATTTAGATGTGTAAATACTGAACATGATATCAACAGAAGTATGACGACCATTGATAACGATGCTGTTTGTTGTTATGTACATGTGTGTTCAGAATTTAAGGTGATATCCGTACACGTACATATGTACAAGAATTAAAATGATCAACAACCCTAGTCTACGTAAAAACCAAGACAGCTGTTGTCAAAACTTCTAGTTGGCGATGATGTTAGTCACATTGATTGACTTATTATTTCCAAACCACTTTCTGCTGATTTTATTAAATTAAAATACATTTTATTTTACAACTGCGAACATTCTTTTATTTTCAACTTAAATTAAATCTGATTGTTGGTCCGTAAGGAGCGGGAGCGGACGTGAAAAGGTATAGGGTTACCTGTCTGACCGTGCTGGAATTTCTGGGTATCAGAATTGTGTTAATTTTTATAAACTTTCATACAAAGTGCGTGATACCTACCTGGTAAAGTTAACTTTCTGCGCCGCGCATTTCACCAGAATTACATCGTGGAATGTAAGTTAAGGCAAACCTTATACTTTATATACACTCTATAGAATATTGATCTGATCAATAATTGATTCTGGATCCCAGGCAGCGCCCTCAACCCACTTCACACCACACAACACAAAGCACTTAGGATAGCTCTAGGTGCGATCAAAAACACACCAACAGTCAGTTTCCTAGCAGAGGCTGGCGAACAGCCATTACAACTTCGACCTAACTCATTCATACTCAAATACTGGGCTAGGACACAACGATTAGGCAAACACCTCCCCCCAAATACACAAATTCAACAAGCTAAAAACACATTTCGAAAAAAAACCAACATGACAAACCCCCTTACAACCACATTATACACACACTATTAACAGAACACGAACTAGCAGATATCAAAATAGCGGAAATCAACTACAACCCACACCAAAATGTCGTCACTGCCACAATTTAGCAATCATAGACCATATCTTTCTCTGGTGTAACAAACATACACATCAAACATTTTTACAAGAGTTGGGGAAACTAAATGTACCACTAAATAACATACATACAATACTACAACCTATCCCAGTAGAACATAATCCACAAACAGATACTAAAATACCTTACACAAACCAACTACGGAGACCACATTTAAAAACATACATCACAAGAGAGGTAACTCTTGCAATCAAATACACGGCACATACAAACTATACACCTACAAAACTGCAATGTCCATTGTCCAGTATAAGTTACACATAAACTGGAACCTCAGGATACAACGATCATGGACTGGTGATCAGTCGGATTCAGGCTTTGTACACTGGCTGTTAGCTTCTGGAACCCGGTTAAGTAGGGCAATGGGATAGATAGCTCTCGGTAAGACTTTCTACAGAGCAATTTATTCAGCTCTGGACGATGGGCAGTATGACTAAACACAATCCCACTAAATACATAAACAAACCAAAAAACTAAATATACAAGTAAACTATACCAAACAACCCCATAAACATAGTAATCTGTCCCCCTACCGCCATTCACAAGACAAAACAACCCCATAAACATACTAATCTGTCCCCCACCCGCCATTCACAAGACAAAACAACCCCATAAACATACTAATCTGTCCCCCACCCGCCATTCACAAGACAAAACAACCCCATAAACATACTAATCTGTCCCCCACCCGCCATTCACAAGACAAAACAACCCCATAAACATACTAATCTGTCCCCCACCCGCCATTCACAAGACAAAACAACCCCATAAACATACTAATCTGTCCCCCACCCGCCATTCACAAGACAAAACAACCCCATAAACATACTAATCTGTCCCCCACCCGCCATTCACAAGACAAAACAACCCCATAAACATACTAATCTGTCCCCCACCCGCCATTCACAAGACAAAACAACCCCATAAACATACTAATCTGTCCCCACCCGCCATTCACAAGACAAAACAACCCCATAAACATACTAATCTGTCCCCCACCCGCCATTCACAAGACAAAACAACCCCATAAACATACTAATCTGTCCCCACCCGCCATTCACAAGACAAAACAACCCCATAAACATACTAATCTGTCCCCCACCCGCCATTCACAAGACAAAACAACCCCATAAACATACTAATCTGTCCCCCACCCGCCATTCACAAGACAAAACAACCCCATAAACATACTAATCTGTCCCCCACCCGCCATTCACAAGACAAAACAACCCCATAAACATACTAATCTGTCCCCATCTGCCATTCACAAGACAAAACAACCCCATAAACATACATCTGTCCCCCACCCGCCATTCACAAGACAAAACAACCCCATAAACATACTAATCTGTCCCCACCCGCCATTCACGCCACACAAGACAAAACAACCCCATAAACATACTAATCTGTCCCCATCTGCCATTCACAAGACAAAACAACCCCATAAACATACTAATCTGTCCCCACCCGCCATTCACAAGACAAAACAACCCCATAAACATACTAATCTGTCCCCCACCCGCCATTCACAAGACAAAACAACCCCATAAACATACTAATCTGTCCCCCTACCGCCATTCACAAGACAAAACAACCCCATAAACATACTAATCTGTCCCCCACCCGCCATTCACAAGACATTCACAAGACAAAACAACCCCATAAACATACTAATCTGTCCCCCACCCGCCATTCACAAGACAAAACAACCCCATAAACATACTAATCTGTCCCCCACCCGCCATTCACAAGACAAAACAACCCCATAAACATACTAATCTGTCCCCCACCCGCCATTCACAAGACAAAACAACCCCATAAACATACTAATCTGTCCCCCACCCGCCATTCACAAAACAAAACAACCCCATAAACATACTAATCTGTCCCCCACCCGCCATTCACAAGACAAAACAACCCCATAAACATACTAATCTGTCCCCCACCCGCCATTCACAAGACAAAACAACCCCATAAACATACTAATCTGTCCCCCACCCGCCATTCACAAGACAAAACAACCCCATAAACATACTAATCTGTCCCCCACCCGCCATTCACAAGACAAAACAACCCCATAAACATACTAATCTGTCCCCCCCCATTCACAAGACAAAACAACCCCATAAACCCGCCATTCACAAGACAAAACAACCCCATTCACAAGACAAAACAACCCCATACATACTAATCTGTCCCACCCGCCCACAAGACAAAACAACCCCATAAACATCACACCCGCCAGACAACAAAACAACCCCATAAACATACTAATCTGTCCCCCACCCGCCATTCACAAGACAAAACAACCCCATAAACATACTAATCTGTCCCCACCCGCCATTCACAAGACAAAACAACCCCATAAACATACTAATCTGTCCCCACCCGCCATTCACAAGACAAAACAACCCCATAAACATACTAATCTGTACCCCTACCGCCATTCACAAGACAAAACAACCCCATAAACATACTAATCTGTCCCCCACCCGCCATTCACAAGACAAAACAACCCCATAAACATACTAATCTGTCCCCCACCCGCCATTCACAAGACAAAACAACCCCATAAACATACTAAACTGTATCCCACACTGTTACAAAACAACCCCATAAACATACTAATCTGTCCCCCACCCGCCATTCACAAGACAAAACAACCCCATAAACATACTAATCTGTCCCCCACCCGCCATTCACAAGACAAAACAACCCCATAAACATACTAATCTGTCACAAGACAAAACCCCCACCCGCCATTCACAAGACAAAACAACCCCATAAACATACTAATCTGTCCCCACCCGCCATTCACAAGACAAAACAACCCCATAAACATACTAATCTGTCCCCCACCCGCCATTCACAAGACAAAACAACCCCATAAACATACTAATCTGTCCCCCACCCGCCATTCACAAGACAAAACAACCCCATAAACATACTAATCTGTCCCCCACCCGCCATTCACAAGACAAAACAACCCCATAAACATAAAATCTGTCCCCCACCCGCCATTCACAAGACAAAACAACCCCATAAACATACTAATCTGTCCCCCACCCGCCATTCACAAGACAAAACAACCCCATAAACATACTAATCTGTCCCCCACCCGCCATGCAACAGACAAAACAACCCCATAAACATACTAATCTGTCCCCCACCCGCCATTCACAAGACAAAACAACCCCATAAACATACTAATCTGTCCCCCACCCGCCATTCACAAGACAAAACAACCCCATAAACATACTAATCTGTCCCCCATCCGCCATTCACAAGACAAAACAACCCCATAAACATACTAATCTGTCCCCCACCCGCCATTCACAAGACAAAACAACCCCATAAACATACTAATCTGTCCCCCACCCGCCATTCACAAGACAAAACAACCCCATAAACATACTAATCTGTCCCCCACCCGCCATTCACAAGACAAAACAACCCCATAAACATACTAATCTGTCCCCCACCCGCCATTCACAAGACAAAACAACCCCATAAACATACTAATCTGTCCCCACCTGCCATTCACAAGACAAAACAACCCCATAAACATACTAATCTGTCCCCATCCGCCATTCACAAGACAAAACAACCCCATAAACATAGTAATCTGTCCCCACCCGCCATTCACAAGACAAAACAACCCCATAAACATACTAATCTGTCCCCACCCGCCATTCACAAGACAAAACAACCCCATAAATATACTAATCTGTCCCCACCCGCCATTCACAAGACAAAACAACCCCATAAACATAGTAATCTGTCCCCACCCGCCATTCACAAGACAAAACAACCCCATAAATATACTAATCTGTCCCCACCCGCCATTTACAAGACAAAACAACCCCATTGTCTCCTGTTGATAAATTGTTTGCTGTATTTGATAATGAAAGCTCATACTCTGCTTAAATATAAACTTATGAGTGATTTTTCTGAGTCAATTTTGACTGGCATCTCTATAACAGATTTGACCATATGGTGTTTGTAGTCTTGTACATTGTACACCCCAATAGGTACATCTATTTACAAATTTAAAAAAGAAAAATGATATGAGGAATAAGAACAACACATGTAGGTTTAACTTTTTATTTTATAATGATCTTTTGGTAATGTCACTAATGACATCAAGATTCCAAAGGAATGATATCACTCTCAATTCTTCTTCTGTCTCCGTAGCAATGCCTTCGTCAAAGCCATCTGAGGAAGAAAGGGACTTGTAGTCAATGCAAACAAAGGGCAATAACTCCTTTTCTATCCATGTGATTTAATTTCCTATATCTTTAGCTTTACCACAATATGTCTAGTCAGTTGTTTTTTTTCATGGATACATGTCATTTTTTGTAAAATTTATAATTCATAAGAATTAAATCTCCCATAGAATACTAAAAGACGTTTTGCTGTGTAAAACCTCACCCTAAAAACTTAATAAATTGGAGATGGGATCCCAACATGGATGCTCGGTACAGCATTAGCTCAACATTATTCAAAATAAGTAAACTAAAAAGGATGGCTTTGAAAGACTGACCTGTTTATCTCTAAATGAACGCTTGCCCTTCTTTTTTCCCAACTTATGCTTGACCATCATGAAGTTCTTGCCTCTTGCTTTCTCCTTGTTGGTAGTACTGGCATTAGGGTTCATTTTCTGTGGACCATGTGAAAATTTCTCTCTACCCACTCGTCCAGCCTGAAAACAGAGCATACCTGAGTTTTCTGGACAAAATCTCACATAGCAAGGATTATTAGAAACTTTTAATTCCATCTGATGATTTTCCTGTACTGCCTCTTGTCAATTGAAACATGATTAAAGGACTCTTAAAAAGGTATGAAATGTCTTGATTTCTGAACTTTTATATTCAATGAGTGAAGTGGATAATAGAAACAAGAGATCCCAGAGCGATCTTGGCGCCCACCATTTGAGGATCTGTTTTCAGTTCTTGAAGATTTGTTTATTTTTGTTTGTTTGTTACAGGTGTTGTAAATGTTCATGAACTGGTCTTCATTGAATGTACTCAATGATAGCAAATATCATTTGAAAAAGATCCCAAAGTATTATTAGATAGCAGTCAGTTACAGGTGGATAATGGACAATATGCTTGTGCTGTATTACTGTCGACATCCAAGATGGCTGCCTGTGGGCCACCTTGATTTCATATCAGTCCAAAAAAGGTACAATGCACAACTAGGGACCAAGGGAAACCAATATCTATGAAATATCAGAAGGATCCATCCAGTACTTCCTCAGATATAGCAGTAACAAGATTTTACTCTCAAAATCCAAGATGGCTGCCTGTCAGCCATCTTGATTTCGGATCAGTCCAAAAAGGTATAATGCACAACTTGGAACCAAAGGGAACCTGCATATAAAAATTTGAGAAAGATCCATCCAGTACTTTCCAAGAAATAGCAGTAACAAACTTTTACATTCAAAATCCAAGATGGCCACCTGTCTGCCATCTTGAATTCGAATCAGTCCAAAAAAGGTACAATGCACAACTAGGGACCAAGGGGAAACTGCATATGAAATTTGAGAAAGATCCATCCAGTACTTTTCCAGAAATAGCGGTAACAAACTTTTTCTTCCAAAATCCAAGATGGCCACCTGTCGGCCATCTTGAATGCGAATCAGTTCAAAAAAGGTACAATGCACAACTAGGGACCAAGGGGAACCAGCATATGAAATTTGAGAAAGATCCATCCAGTCCTTTTCCAGAAATAGCGGTAACAAGAATTGTTTACGGACGGATGACGGACGCAGGGCGATTTGAATAGATGGTGGGCTAAAAATATTAGGATGAATTAAAAAGCTTCAAATGAGGAAAAACTAATAATAAACATATAAATAAATAAAAGTAAATGAATGAATAAAGAAGAGACCAATGGGCCTTGATGGCCATCTGAGATATGAAATATTCAAGTTAATTTTAAATATGTTATTATTAGCAATCTGCCACGCCATACTTATAATTCTAACCGAGATTGAATAATTTGCAATGGCTTTATTACAATTGATACTCCAAAATATACCTTTCCTATATAAACTAAGGTTGATTTTGTCCCCTCCCATTGGGGGAAATGTGAGACCCCAGGTTTATTAAGTTCGCAATACGAATGAAGCACCTTAACATCCTTCCATCTATATGAGTATTTGATTTTATCATTGCTGGTTATGGAGAAGAAGATTTTTAAAATTTCAGTCAATCTGACCCTTTTTGATCCCAACCATTAACCCCTGGTGTCCATCTCATCCAACATTCCTTTATCAGCAAACTGCCATCCTATGGTTAAAACTCAGAGGAATGATTTCATTTAAACATTTTAACACATCTGAACCCTGTTCATTCAAGCATGCTACGAGCCCAATATCAGAAACCTGGGCCTTTTGGTTATTGAGAAGATTTTAAAACATTTGACCTTTGACTTTGAAAATGGGTTGTGATCATTCATTTGATAAAATTTGTAGCCCTTCATCCAAACATGCAACAGGCCTACAGCAGTATCTCGGATCTTTTGGTTTTTGAGAGGAAGTCCATAATGTCAATTGTTTATGACAGATGACACACAATAATGGAGAAATGCAATTGTAAAGGGTCCTTCATCTAAGGTGATCTAGTGAAAAATAAGCATGAAAAAAGGGAAGCTTGTCTCTACAATATACAAACTAAGGTATTCCTTACATTCATTTATAATCTGGAAGGGGAACTACTATCATTTTTGTAATGAAGAAGTAAAATCAATCAAAAACCAATCACAAAATTACAAAAACAAAATGACCAGCTCACTATCACCAGGTTACCACTGCTATGGTAAGTAGAAAATGACCAGTTTACTATAACTATTGTATGAAGAAAAAGGCCAGTTTACTGTACCTATGGTAAGTAGAAAATGACCAGTTTACTGTACCTATGGTAAGTAGAAAATGGCCAGTTTACTGTAACTATGGTAAGTAGAAAATGACCAGTTTACTGTAACTATGGTAAGTAGAAAATGACCAGTTTACTGTAACTATGGTAAGTAGAAAATGACCAGTTTACTATCACCAGGTTACCACTACTATGGTAAGTAGACAATGACCAGTTTACTATAACTATGGTAAGTAGAAAATGACCAGTTTACTGTAACTATGGTAAGCAGAAAATGACCAGTTTACTGTAACTATGGTAAGTAGAAAATGACCAGTTTACTGTAACTATGGTAAGTAGAAAATGACCAGTTTACTGTAACTATGGTAAGTAGAAAATGACCAGTTTACTGTAACTATGGTAAGTAGAAAATGACCAGTTTACTGTAACTATGGTAAGTAGAAAATGACCAGTTTACTGTAACTATGGTAAGTAGAAAATGACCAGTTTACTGTAACTATGGTCAGTAGAAAATGACCAGTTTACTGTAACTATGGTAAGCAGAAATGACCAGTTTACTGTAACTATGGTAAGTAGAAAATGACCAGTTTACTGTAACTATGGTAAGTAGAAAGTAAAAAATGACCAGTTTACTGTAACTATGGTAAGTAGAAAATGACCAGTTTACTGTAACTATGGTAAGTAGAAAATGACCAGTTTACTGTAACTATGGTCAGTAGAAAATGACCAGTTTACTATAACTATGGTAAGCAGAAAATGACCAGTTTACTATAAAAAAGAAAATGTGGAAACTCTTACCATAACAGTTGAGAGACGAGATTCCTTATCGTGGGCTCTCTTCTTGTGAACATTTTCTATCGTGGATAGCATCAGTCGATCACTGTAACATATTGATCACATATTAATAGTGATCATCTTATTTCAGTATTTCACATTCAAAGTACAAGTGTACCTGAATTGCACTAAAATTGACCCCTGTTACTTTAATCGTACGTAAAAGTAAGTGATTTTTTGCAAAATTTGTCTAAAAATTATTACCATGTACCACTTATTAAATAAAGCAACATTATCATTACAAATCATGTAGACACCTGTTTTCATCATCGTCCACTTCTATGTGCTTTCGCTTGCCTTTCCCTTTACTGGCACTTTCAGTAGTTTTACGAGCCTGATGGTGCTGAATTTGACGGAAATCTTCTTGCGTGAGAATACGATTGGTGGAGATATCCTCTGCCTTTTTACGTTTCTCTTCCAAAGTGAGGCCAGCTACTGGGTCTTCTGTCTGTTTGATAAAAACATACATCACATTTAACCCAGAGTAGAATTCTAATTCAAACTCCATTAAATCATATTCAGAATAACTGTACAACAATGTTATTGTCACGCACACCTGTATGTTTACCTGTGCATTGTTATTGAGTTGGTCACGTGAGCGGGTATGCGAGTGTGAGCGGGACAGTGGACATTGACTGTCCAGGTGACCAGCACGCCTTTGTTCTGTTTTCGTTACCTGTTTGCCGACTTTATGGCGTGAGTGACTTTGTTTAGTCCTGGAAATGAAGCCCAGACATCTGACTGGGGTAAGTATGCTTTCTTTCTTTCGTAATATGCTGTTTTATGTGGTTGTTTATTGCCATATTTACGATGTCCTTCTTATAGGTCAAGCTATCTATTGTCGGTGCGTGTTCGTTCATGCGTAGCTTTCAGTGTTTACGATGCATGTTTATTTTCTAGGATTTAACGTTGAATTAGGCTGGATACATTTGAAAATTGTTATTGTACATCTAGAGTGGCTATTTTGTCAGTTATTTAGTCGTTGTAAAACCGTAAAGTACACGTAGAAAAGTGGTTACGTTTGTGTTAAAAAAAAAGTATGGAAGCCGTGAGTGGAAGTCGTGTGTGCATGAACCGGTGTGAGAGCGTCACGGTATAAATTCTATGGAAGGCCGTTAGCGTCGTGTATGTTTCGCGTAACGATAGGGTTGTTTTGTTGAATTGTGATATTGTGTATTTTATCACGCACCGTAGAATTGTAAAATGTAGTCGTGTATTCCCCTTGTATTACACAAACAAGTAATAGATTATTGATTATAAATAATGTTAATTTACTGGTTAGTTGTAAGAAACTTTGTGAGTTATATGTAATTGTAGTCATGGGTGGAAGGATGAACATTTAGTGGTCTTTTGTTTTTGTTTAAAGCTTCACATGATGGGTAAATCACCAAAGAGCCTACAGAAGGTCAGCACCGCTGGAGCGCCAGGTCTTCGCCGTGCAGTAACGGGACCAACCAACGTTACATCTCAGTTACTCAGGGTCTAGGTCAACTGCAAAGAAGGATTGTCTCCAGGTACAGGCTGTCATGTAGCGACTCGGCTGTAATATGTAAGCTAGTCACCGCCCTATCAGTGAGGGAGTTTTCATGATACGGTTGCTTTGTCAGCAATTCGTCTTTGTGTTGGGAACTGAGGGAGTCGTTCCTTTACAACTCCGACTTTGTCAGTCCACGGAAGCTGTTTTGCGTGCACCCTCCGTGTGCACTATTCGACACATTGGAGATGTTGATTGTGAGACCACCTTGTACCTTGTCTGTGAAGAGACCGTAGCCATCTTTACTGTTAAAGTGTATGAATGGAGAGTGATTGTGAGTGTGACTGGGTGTCTGTAGTTTTCATGTTCTCTATGTTAATAAATTTGTGTATAAGTTCATTTGTTGTATTCTTGTGTTGATTTCCTGATATACTGCTCAGAGGCCCGTCCCACGTTACAGTTATACTTCATATTCTAATCATTTCATTAAAGAAATGAAAGGGCGATAAATTTGTATATTTTTCTGGTTTCATAGTTGTAATGTCTTGCATTCACGTTTAAACACGACAAATATCATGACAATTAACATAAAAAGTCAATTAACGTAAACAGACAGACAATTAACATAAACAGACACTTAAATATAATGTATAATCAATATCCAAGCTTCAATAGAATTAAAGAAATAAAAAGTATTGATTTCACAACCCCCCTAAACTTGATCTATCATTTGGCTAAACCTTGCTTCTACTTCTTTTCTACATTCTAATTAGAATAAGTTTAAGATAACATAACTCCTCCAATCAAAATGGATCTCCATGACAACTGTACCAAAATGAGGAGTTTTGATTATTTCTAGTTGATACTGGAATTGATATTTAGCTAAAACACCTAAAATAGTCGCCAGCTGTTATATTGGATGGCTGGCTAATACCATTCTAACCTTCCCATCATTGTTGACCAAACTTCCTTTCCCTCTCACTTATTTGTGTATAATGCGTTTGAACAGCCAGTACATGAAAGAGGCTCTCAATGAACCAAATTTATTTCAATATCAAGAGGCCCAATGGGCCTGCATCACTTACCTTGAATTAGTGATTCACATTATTGACATTCAAAGTTTTGATTAATGGAAAGAAGTCACAGGAATGTCTTCACAAATTTGGCCACTATGACCTTGAATATGCATGAATTTTTCTTCCCAAATATGGATGGATTTTATCTCGGGAACCTATGAGTAAATATGATTCTTGGCTCGTTTGGTTCAATAGAAGAAATCTTCTGAAGTTTTTTTTAACTAATTCTACCTGTGGCCTTAAACATAGGTCAAGTTATTATCTTTTAGCCTTTATCCAGGGAACTTTCCAGGGATATATCGGGATTCTCAGCCTTTTCGCAAAAGGTCATTTAAAGGTTTTCATCATTTCAGGAACCTACCAGGCAAATATGTGAAGATCAAAAAACATCTGAGAGCTGTGACCTTCAAGTGGATCAAGGTAGGTCATTCCTTCGATCACACTTTGTATTACTTTATCCCTGTACTTTATGAACCAATATCAGTACCTTTGGTCTTTTGGTCTGTGTCAATGTAATTCATTTGAAAGAACTTTTGAAAGAACTTGTGAGCATCCCAGCATGCCACAGGTCCAACATCAGCAGCTTCGATCTTTTGTTTATTGAGAAATTGTTTAAAGATCCTAATATTTCTGATCCGTTTAACCTTGAACGTTGGCCAAGGTTATTCATTTTAATAAATTTTGTAGCCTTTCATCTAAGATTCAACAGGCTAAATATCAGCACCCCAAGTCTTTCATATATTGAGAAGTTATTTCATAATATATTTTAACATGATTGACCCCTGAATGGGTAGAGGTGATTTATTGGAATAAATTTGGTAGCCTTCTATCCGTAAATGCTACACACAAACATCAATCCATAGACCTTTTGGGTTATTATGTAGGAGTGGTTTGTTAACACTGAAAGAATAACAGATGCTGCACCATGGCAAAAGCACACTAGTCCTTTGGGCAGGTAACTTAACATAGATTAATCTGTATACCAAGAGCAGTGTGTGACGATTGGGAGCATTGCTCTTCAAAGAAACTTCTGTGCAAGATCAGAGGGATGAGGGATGTCATAAGCATCTTTTTCTTTGAAGACAACAACTGCCACTTTATCAATCCAAGTAAGTAATGTCAGGTTGTCAAATGAAAGATTTATAAGAAGGAAACTGTCAGACTTACAAATGAGCATAGAACATATTTTCACTACAACACCAGGAAAAGAACAAAGTGATCCAGATGGTGACATTGAAATTTCCCAATATTCTTCTCCCTGTGATGTTTGTTTATCTGCTGTGGACATCTTTTATGGAAGTGGTCAAGGGTTAGTGGGAAACAGCTAAAAGATATTGAATTAACTTTGACCTGTTCAAATTGTGTCTTAAGAATGCATGATGCTCCTATCAGGAAATGGAAAATTAACAACAGAGAAATCTAAGTCATCATGTTTAACTTACATCTAGGTGTAAACTGGCCCTGTTGGTGTCAGTGGAGAAAAAAGATCAAGGTAACCAGGTGATGTAGAGATATTTGTTCTTAATTTTCACTTTTGATGGGTTTACGCAATGGACTTTGTCAATAAATCTTGGTGTAAAAACACTGAAGATGTCATTGATATATCTGAAGCGTAATTAATTGACTTTGTGATCTGTTTCAGGCTGTCTCTGTTCTAGCAAAAGATCAAGGTGGCTGATGAAGAGGAGTCTGTTGTGTCCTAGATTTTCATTTGTAGGGAGTATGTGTATATATGATTGACAAAGTCAATACCTTCTTATTTAAAAACAAGAGCTTCAGTAACTCAGATTTAACAGAACAAAACGTTTGATTAAATAGATGTATATTATGTAAACAGAACCAACCTCTTCTTCATCAGATGAATGATGAACATCTATCCAACCATCTTCATCATCATCTTCATCTTCACTACAAGACTCCCAACCTTCTAAAATTATATTACACACACAAACATAATAAAGAATTAATTTGATTTCAAAGTTGGGATTTTCAAAGCCTTCATTATCTATTCACTATTTCATAATTTATCTAAAACAGTTTTATATCTTTGAACAATTTAAACAATTACATGTTTAAAGAAACCTTCCAACATTGTTATCATTCTTCTCTTATATTAGTAGCAAAGACATTCAAAACAGATTTGACAAGAAAAGACAAGATATGCAGAGAAATCTGGTGACAACAAGAGGAGTGGTCAGACAGACATTACATCAAGGATTCAGAGTAGTTATAAACAGATAACACAACATGTGTTAAGTGTTACAAACAGACAACACAACATGTGTTAAGTGTTACAGATAACACAACATGTGTTAAGTGTTACAGATAACACAACATGTGTTAAGTGCTACAAACAGATAACACAACATGTGTTGAATGCTACAAACAGATAACACAACATGTGTTTAGTGCTACAAACAGATTACACAACATGTGTTAAGTGCTACAAACAGATACCACAACATGTGTTAAGTGTTACAGATAACACAACATGTGTTAAGTGTTACAGATAACATAACATGTGTTAAGTGCTTCAAACATATAACACAACATGTGTTTAGTGCTACAAACAGATAACACAACATGTGTTGAATGCTACAAACAGATAACACAACATGTGTTAAGTGTTACAAACAGACAACACAACATGTGTTAAGTGTTACAGATAACACAACATGTGTTTAGTGCTACAAACAGATTACACAACATGTGTTAAGTGTTACAAACAGACAACACAACATGTGTTAAGTGTTACAGATAACACAACATGTGTTAAGTGCTACAAACAGATAACACAACATGTGTTGAATGCTACAAACAGATAACACAACATGTGTTTAGTGCTACAAACAGATTACACAACATGTGTTAAGTGCTACAAACAGATAACACAACATGTGTTAAGTGTTACAGATAACACAACATGTATTTAGTGCTACAAACAGATAACACAACATGTGTTAAGTGTTACAAACAGAAAACACAACATGTGTTAAGTGCTACAAACAGGTAACACAGCAGGGGTTTGGTGATAAAAACAGAGAAAACAGCATGTGTTAAGTGCATTAGTTTGATGACACAGAGAACACAACAGGAGTTTGGTGTTACAAACAGATAACACAACAGGAGTTTGATGAAACAGAGAACACATGAGTTTGATGACACAGAGAACACAACATGAGTTTGATGAAATAGAGAACACAACATGAGTTTGATGACACAGAGAACACAACATGAGTTTGATGAAACAGAGAACACAACATGAGTTTGATGAAACAGAGAACACATGAGTTTGATGACACAGAGAACACAGCAGGAGTTTGGTGATACAGAGAACACAGACCTTTAGTGTCATCTGCCTCTCCTGTCTGCTCATTATCAAGTTCAATCTTGCTAGATAACACCTCTGCTCCAGGGACAGCCTGATGTGCGTTGAGATCACCATACTGTATGTTCTTCTGTTCTTCTGTAGCTTCTGTTGGCTTTCCCTGTTAAACAAACAATTCTTGATATTTGTGTTTGATAAAAATGCAAAATTAATATTTTTCATCCAGATAAAATTACTCAGTCAGCTTTTTCTGACAATTTACCGACAAGAAAATCTGTGATAAAATAAAATGAGTTTTCAATTGCCACTAATACCTAGAAAAGAAGTTAAATTAATGATATAGGACAGACTCATTCCAGAGAATACACAGGGATTTAAAGTCTTTTTTTCATATGAGATGCCTCCTGTTCTAAATACATTTATAAGGAAGCTATATTTAAGTGTTACCTACCCTATCCCTCTTGTGGAGAAGTTCGGGGTTGACTCTTCGGTAAAGGCCTATCAGAGCCCGTGACGCCATCATCACAGCTACAGAAATTACACAACGCAAAAGAATGGATATTGAACCTGGTGCTTGAAAATGTTCTGAAATTTGTTCATGTCTTTTTTAATCAATAATCATCTCTAAACACACACACTATCATGGCGGTAAGAATTGCCTGCTTTCATTTCAATAACTAGTATCATACTTATGAATAGTGAAAGTTAACTGCAATTGTGCAATTTAAATGTTAAATTATTCACAACAATATAAAGATCATCTAGAGATCCCATTTAAAGGAGAAACTTCATAAACTATAATCAGAACATGTTCTGAGCACGGTATACACAGTATGCTAAAGTTAACATTAAAGTCTGGTGAAGATTTCCTTAGATGTTGTCTGGTCATCTATACTTATTGTTTATACGTTACTAGTACCCCACTTGTGTATTCCTTAGGAATCCATTCTAGGAAGCTTACCGAAAATTAACAAAACTGCCCATACGGACATTGGATCTCATTTTCTTTGTAAAATCAGAACTATATAAGTGGCTGGACAGTAACAGTCATTCTTAACATGAATTCTCTTCCTGATAAAGGTGACTTACAGCCTTAACATGAATTCTCTTCACTGATAAAGATGACATACAGCCTTAATGTGAATTCTCTTCACTGATAAAGGTGACATACAGCCTTAACCTGAATTCTTTTCCTGATAAAGGTGACATACAGCCTTACCATGAATTCCCTTCACTGATAAATGTGACATACAGCCTTAACCTGAATTCTTTTCACTGACTATGGTAACATGCAGCCTCGACATGAATTCTTTTTCCTCTATTACCTTTATCTTTGTGTGTCTTATACTGTACTAAGTCTCGAAGGAGGTCTTCAGAAAGTGCTAGAGGACAACGTGCACATATTTCCCTTACAGCATTTAACCTGGAAAAAGATCTTAATCTGTTTATCAAAAGTCCAAATGGTTAAAAACTTCAGATTTAGAACTTAAAAATACATGTATAATGTATAGTGATGGCATTTTACAAGTTGGTGATAGTGGATACCATCCATTTACTAAACAGAAATACATAGTGAAGGCGTTTTTAATTTAAGACCCATTAATAAATCATATAAATCAATCAGTATTAAGGTGGATTTAAAGGCAAACTCTGATTCATTACAGACGTAAAACGTCATTTGATTGGTCAATGAAAACAATTACAGAATGATGTAACACAACATCTGATTGGTCAATGAAAACAATCATTACAGACGTAACACAAGATCAGATTGGTCAATGAAAACAATTCATTACGGATGTAACACAACAATTTGTGGCAATATGCAAATTAAATTCACCGAGAGTAATTAATGACAATGTCCAATATTAGCCCAAACATCTTCAGCTACTTCTCCTCCTTGCCCTATTTTATTACATATCAAAGACAATTAACAGTTTAGTTTCCTGTGGAAAATTGTCCACTGTTAAGGGATTACACAAACCCTGAGTTTTAAATAGAATTCAGAAAAGACAAGACTTACCCAACTGCCATCACTTCACCCGAATTTCTGTCTGTAATAAAGTTATTGGCTATTGTCTTCACAGTTGTCTCCAGCACCTGACATGAGAGATTGAAAAGAACATTCTAATTCCATTTCATATTATGTGTGATTTTTATTTTCAAAATTTCCTCAAATTAATGTAATATCTTGTGATATTGAGGATGCTGAATATTAGAAAATACAATCTTAGCAGTTGTGACATTTGTGTGAGATCAGTATCATGTTTAAAAAATATATATGATTTACAACACCAGTTTTGTATCCTATAGGTTTCAGCGTTCCCAATCTCAATGACTAGGCTTTTCAATGTAACATAACAACATTTCATTGACCTAAAATTGCTTTCTACCCAACATTTTCATCACCAAACACAAAAAAACTTGTAATATTATCCAATAGTTTTAATAATCTTAAGTTATGAAAATTTCCTTAAGAAAATGCAAACAAGAGATCCCAGAGGGATCTTGGTGCCCACCATTTGAGGATCTGTTTTCAGTTCTTGAAGATTTGTTTATTTTTTTTTTTTGTTACAGGTGTTGTAAATGTTCATGAACTGGTCTTCATCGAATGTACTCAATAATGGCACAAGATATTTTTATTAAGCACCTATTAGCAAACATCATTTGAAAAAGATCCCAAAGTAATATTAGATAGCAGTCAGTTACAGGTGGATAATGGACATGGTCTTGAATCAATATGATAGAATATGGAAGAAAATATGCTGTGCTGAATTACAGTCGACATCCAAGATGGCTGCCTGTGGGTCACCTTGATTTCAAATCAGTCCAAAAAAGGTACAATGCACAACTAGGGACCAAGGGAAACCAATAGCTATGAAATATCAGAAAGATCCATCCAGTACTTCCTAAGAAATAGCGGTAACAAGATTTTACTCTAAAAATCCAAGAGCCATCTTGATTTCGGATCAGTCCAAAAAAGGTAAAATGCATAATTACGGCCAAAGGGAAACCTTCATATTAAATTTGAGAAAGATCCATCAAATATTTTCCCAGAAATAGCGATAACAAACTTTTACTTCCAAAATACAAAATGGCCGTCTGTGGGCCATCTTGAATTCAGATCAGTCCAAAAAGGAATAATGCACAACTAGGGACCAAGGGGAAACTGCATATAAAATTTGAGAAAGATCCATCCAGTATTTTCTCAGAAATAGCGGTAACAAACTTTTACTTTCAAACTCCAAAATGGCTGCCTGTCAGCAATCTTGAATTCGAATCAGTCCAAAAAAGGTACAATGCACAACTAAGGACCAAGAGGAACCTGCATATGAAATTTGAGAAAGATCCATCCAGTCCTTTCCCAGAAGTAGCGGTTACAAACTTTTACTTTAAAACTCCAAAATGGCCGCCTGTCGGCCATCTTGAATTCAAATCAGTCCAAAAAAGTACAATGCACAACAAGGGACCAAGGGGAACCTGCATATAAAATTTGAGAAAGATCTATCCAGTACTTTTCCAGAAATAGCGTTAACAAGAATTGTTTACGGATGGACAGACAGACCACGGATCACGGATGCAGGGCGATTTGAATAGCCCACCATCTGATGATGGTGGGCTAAAAATATCAGCTCACTTGGTTGCCTTAAAAATCTAATATTTTTAAGGTTATCACATATGCAAAGAGTTTATTCAACAATTGCTTAGTTTCAGTTCCAGTGATCTCATGGAAGCAAATATGGGACTATTTCAGACATTGATTTACTGACATATAAGTTTTTTTTCCATTTCCCGAAACACCAGAAGAAAGATACACAATATCAGCAAATTATTCAATTTATATATAGCTGTAAGATGGTAATGTTACATGAAATAAATAGATAATATCACAACACTTACATGTAAGTGTTCTATCAAACCTCGCGGTAAAAAGATTCAAAATGGAAAAAAAAGTGTGAATACACACCCAACACAAGATCAATGCTTTGGAGTGCCCATATCATTCAAGATATTTACAGAGAACATACAAAAGCCATAAACATCATTATTAAAATGTGACACCTGAAAAAATGACGCTGGACTCTTCCATGATGTCACCTACTTGATGGTAACTGATGTACTGTTGTATGACTTAACTGATACCAAAGACTAATGTCAAGAGACGGTCACTGATCCAATCTTGGAGATTCGCCTCTTATAAGAAGCACAAGAAGAAGAAAGCTATGCTCGTGTGTAAACATTAGTCAGAGTACCAGACCAAGGTTGTGATTTCAGTTGTGCAGGTAATTTTCATGTGACCTCATGTTGTAACCCACATTTTCTTGTCACATTGTTGTGAGCTTCAAATGTTAATAAATGGCTATCTGTAAATACTGTTTTACTCTTAGTCAAATTTAATGAAATTATAAACGTGTATTTTGTTAGTAACAATAGCCAGAAAGTTTATTTCTTCACAAACTAAATGGTATCAGGGTGTATTATGGTAACACTGTATTGAGACACCTTCTCTATAGTAATGCTTCGTCAGAAATTACTTGTCCTATTTACGGCTAAAATTCAGAACTTTGGGTTAACATGTACTTTTAAGTAAGACTTTGATTAGAAGGTAACTGCCACCCTATGATTTGACAGATGAACGTTAATTATTTGGTTTATAAATACACAAGAATTATACTTACATCTGGCGGGACTAAATCATGGCTAGCTTGTGCTACATACAACAGTAGGCGTGTCACTTCTGTAAAATAAGACACGATACAATGTTAAACTGAGTTAATATGTAGTGTATCTATTACATCTGTAACTGAAACACAATGTAATAACAGTAGTATAATTGTCTCATCAAAAGTGTAAACAGAACTCAACATATGAACAGTAGTATAATCATATTATGTTACGTGTATTGAATTCAATGTATTCCATCAACATTGAAGATTTATTTTGCTTTGTTATAAATCCAGTACTCCAATACTGTTCTATATAATCAATTCATGTCTACATTTTGATGTTTTCTCAGCACTTTGTAACTACATGTTAAAGCAGGTGTTATCTATTACAGATTTTGCACCTGACTTATAAACCAACAGTAGTGTTGGCTAGAGAGAAGGGACATTATCCATTACACAAAACATTGAACCATTTTGTAAAATTTTCTTTGAATAAATAATATCCTACTTACCTCGCTGATGAGGCTGCAGGAATCTTTGTACAAATGGATAAAAATTGAGAAGGAAAAGCTGAAATAAAAGAGAAAAAAAAATAAAGAACAAATGATCCTGACCTATACACAAGGTCATGAGGGTCAATCTGCTGTAGATAATGCTCAGCCTTGAGAGTTTTAAGCTTACTAGTTTTAGAAAGATGGTATAAATCCAATCAATATGAACTTGAATTAGTTGATTTAAATCTACTTTGAAGGTCAATGATATGAGATATAATATGTTTGTAAACTGCAACATTAACTTTTAATTTTTGGTGAGAAAATACTAAACCACAAGTACAGCTCTTATAAAATGTTTATGACAATTAAATAACCAAATAAAATGTACTTTTTTAAATTAATACAAATACGCTTTGGAGTTACAGTACCAGAAAAGCTTGATACACATTAAGTGTGTGAGGAATAGCTTCACAAACTCTCTTAAAGTGTAACTTAACCTATGGATACCAATAAGTCAACACTGAGAGGAATAGCTTCACAAACTCTCTTAAAGTCAACACTGTCAACACTGACAGGAATAGCTTCACAAACTCTCTTAAAGTGTAACTTAACCTATGGATACCAATAAGTCAACACTGAGAAGAATAGCTTCACAAACTCTCTTAAAGTGTAACTTAACCTATGGATACCAATAAGTCAACACTGAGAGGAATAGCTTCACAAACTCTCTTAAAGTGTAACTTAACCTATGGATACCAATAAGTCAACACTGAGAGGAATAGCTTCACAAACTCTCTTAAAGTGTAACTTAACCTATGGATACCAATAAGTCAACACTGAGAGGAATAGCTTCACAAACTCTCTTAAAGTGTAACTTAACCTATGGATACCAATAAGTCAACACTGAGAGGAATAGCTTCACAAACTCTCTTAAAGTGTAACTTAACCTATGGATACCAATAAGTCAACACTGAGAGGAATAGCTTCACAAACTCTCTAAAAACATAACTTACCCCATGGATACCAACAAGTCGTGATATTAAGTCTATCATCATGAGTTTCACCTCAAATCTCTCGTTAGTAGCTTCTAATTGCTTTAATAACTTCTCACTAAAATCTGAAATTGGATGAAAAAAAAATATAAAATTTCAAAAGTCTTACTCAGTTATCTTGATGTCAACAGGATTGTGAAAATCTGTTGAATAATACCTGAAAATTTGAGTTAATTACAACGGTGCATAATTAAGGTCTGGTCAAGAGCAGATAAACTTTCAAGGCTTTACATTTTGTCAGTGTTTCAAATAATGGAGTTTTACTGTATATCTTGACATTGAGATAATATCCCTTTATATAATTGATGCATAATTTTCTAAATAGATCTTTTTTTGAAATTACTAATCTTTGAAAAAACAAGAAAAAAGAAATTACTTATGACTTCAGAAAAACAATATACATTGTAAGTGCTATTTAGACAAGCATCATGATTTTTAATTTTTGAACTTCAGCGGAGACTGTCATGCAGTGTGTGAAACTCATATTTTTGAATTTTTTATTATCACATCATTACAGAGTTTTCTGCCATTGAGCATTGGAATGACTTTACCTGTAGAGAATTTTTATGTTAAAATCAGTGTCAGATTTTGCCTTCAAGATTTTCTAAATGTTTACTCTCAGAAATATTTACATTATCACGTCACCAATTTTGTATTTTTTTACCTTGAGGATCATGTAGTAGATGAAGTGCAGAGAAATTAAAGGATTCACTTTTATGCTTCTTTTTGAATTTCTGTAAATAAAAAATAAAATGTAAGAATGAAGATAACATCACAACAAAACAAACTTCAAACAATAAGTTTTATGGTAAAACCTTTATCGTCTTGCCTGTCATGTGATAATCTGAAATCCCAACATACTTCTGTATCAAGGCTGATTATTATTATCAAAAATATGGAAATAGAAAAAAACATGTTTAAAGTAAAGAAGTAGATCTGAAAACAAGAGGCCAATATTGTTAACTTAATTTGGCTTAGCAAAAAATTGCTTCATTGCTTTTTTTTATCTATTTCCACTATTCTGCCCCTGTAGGGTTAAACTAATTTTTTTATACAAAACTGAATACCTCCTATCCAATTATTTTTCAGATCCAATTTGATCAAAATCTCATTATTCCTACAGAAGGAAGATTTTGAAAATTTGCTAAATATCCCCTATTTGACCCTGCTCTCTGCTACCAGATGGTAAAAATCCTACCATTCCTACAAATTTCCACTAATGGCCTCAATCTTTCAGGCCTTAAGGGCCTAAACCTACTTAATATAAATGTATACTTAGTTTAAGCCCCTTTCTCCTGGGGTAATTCTAAACAAATTTGATCCCAATACCCAGATATAGTAATCCCATTTGAGATAAAATTCTAAAGTTTCCCTCTAATTTGACCCCATTACTTTGCTCCAAAGCAGCCAGACCTCTTTATCTCTAAGGATGCTCCAGATTTAATTTAGAAAAAATTCTATCATTTCTACAGAAGAAGGATTTTAAGAGTTTACCTGGTACCCAATATCAGACCTTGACCCTCAAACCAAAGGGTGTCTAGACTCTAGATCCACTCATATAAACTCAATTATGCTTCCCCAAAGGATGCTTTTGAATAAATTTTATTGTAATTTAAACAGATCAGAGCATAAATAAATTGATGGAAAAAACCGAAAACAACTTATAACACAAAAATATCAATTTGCTCTATCAGAGGTTAAGCAAAATGCTTTCTTAGCATACCTTGATAACTAACTTTAAGAACCATCATATAATTATAGTATACAGTGCCTTTGGACTACAAGTCCTAGCTCTGATGTTTCAGAAGAGGATACTGGACCTGTAAAAGATATGTACTTACGACAAACTCAAACCCATTGTCATATTTAACAATAATTGTCATTAATGTAAAACAAATAGTTAAAGCAGTTTATTAGTTTTGTGATTCCTCCCAGAAATAATTCCTTAAAGCTGTAAATAATTTGGTACTTCATTTACCTTCATTGCTTGAAGAGCTCTTTCCAGTTTTTTCTGTCGTTTCTTGGTCTTTTTTGCTACTCTGTTCCCTAGTATCAGTTCCTTTGATGTTTTTCTTGATTTGTCTTTTTTCTGAAAACAGCAAAATAAAAATCTTAAATCCAACCAGCAGTAAAACCATCTCTTTTTGTATTTTGGTGTTTTGTTGAAAATAGACAATTTCATGGACCCTTGGTTTTGTGGACAATTATAACTAAATAAGTCTACTTATAAGAGTAGCAAAGACATCAATGACATTGAATCTCCAACAAAAGTCAATGTTTTTACACAACACACAAAGTAGGTTGAAACCAATTATATAACTAAAGCACCAGTCTTGTTTGACATTTCTTATGCTCTTACAATATATTTTGAAACCCTTCAAACAGAAAGCTAGTCCACTCAGCAGTCAGTAATATTTTCCTTCTCAGAACAAATGATTTGCATGTTGTATGCATGTCTAAATAGTTTTACAATATTTTATACAAAAATCACTGAAAAAAAAAATTCTCACAGATTACCTGCATCAAACATAATCACAGTCCCCCATCAAATGTAAGGTTATATGCCAAGAATGCACAGCTCCTGACATTGTGCAGGAACTTGACACTGAATGTTTACAGACCTAATAAGGAATATTGTAGGCATGTAGGCAATACTAACATCAAAGAATTTTTTTCTATTTTACTATAAATCACATCCGGCAACATCATGTATTTCACCATACAATAGCGTGTGGAAGTATAGATATGAACTAACATGATTAGTGCTGCTACTTTTAGTAAGTGATATCACTGAAGCAAATCTAAATACCAGTTAGATGCATTTCTAGTTTACATAAGAGGTCATCAAAGAGATCAAAGAGACCTACTTCTGATATATGACACACCACCATATGTGAGTCAACTCTTCCCAAAATATGAAGTTCCTATGACAAGTTGGGTAGAAGAGCCTGGACAAACTTTTTCTTTGATGAAGGTCAAAAGTCAAATGTAGTTCACAGTGACTTATTTTCAATGTATGATAAACTACCTCACCAAGGTGGGTCCATTCCCCAGGTAAGAAGCTCCAGTGACTGGTGTAGTTTAAGAGAGAGGGACTGGACAATATAATTTGCTGAACAGCACAAATCTTTTGTCCTCCTGGTTCATTTCATTTTAAATTATTTTCAAATTGAAAGGATTTGATGAAAAATGATTTATCAATGAAATGACACACTTTTGCACTATCAGTATACTCTGAGTAAACAACAGCTAATTTACTTACAAATAAAGGGAAGAAAAATGTTTTGAAGTCAAATGGCTATAGGGACAAGTGAAAATACTGGTCCATGATTTTGTCCTTATTTTAAAATTCATTTCACCAATTCATTTGAGAAGTATCTCTGGATATATATAAATATGACACTCCTTAGTCTATATTTGCTAACATTTGTATTTTTTAAAATGTAACTGAACATATTTTTTACAACAATTACAAAACAAACTTATATCAATCACCCTTGTTGGCCCAGAGGGAAGTGTGAAAGTCTTATTGTGGAAGGAAACCAGAGCACCTGAAGAAAACCCACAAGGTCAGACATGTGACTGCCATACCTTGGGAAATCAAACACAGGATGTCTAGGTGAAAAAGTAGGCATGTTACCACCACTTAACTCTACCACCCACTTGCTGTAAAACTGATGAAACCAATTTCTCTATTAATCAAATGAACCATTGACATGAATTGCTATAGTACCAGATCATTCTTTCTTCGTCCAGTTCACCCTTACCTTATCATCCTCATCTTCACTGTCACTGTCTGCAGCTTTTTCTCCTTCCTCATGGCCGAGGAAGAATTTAAGAGCAGTCACCATTATCTATAAAGAAAAAATATAGAACAGACTATAGTGAGTACAGGTCAGGATTACAAACTCTAACTGTGAAGCGACAACCTGTCCTTAATGAATTACTGTATCTTATGTATGCTGTAACTAGGTCACTTCATAGAAGAAACTGGCTATAATTACTGAATTACAAATCTTTGAAACTTTAGAGAAACAGGCTATATTTAATGAATTATAAACTGTTCTGATACTTTTGATACAAAATTCGACAACTTTGGAAAAACAGGTGACTGAATTACAAACTGTGATAACTTTGGGGAAACATGCTATAGGTACTTAATTATAAATCTTTGTAACTTTCGAGAAACAGGCTGTATTTACTGAATTACAAATCTCCGGGTTGCCATCACTCATGTATTTGAAGGGAGTCTCACATAAATGGAGCTCTCCAAATCAGTATTAGCCGTAATTAGATTGCTTCCAGGTCTCAAATTCTATTTATCTATTCGTGATGAAAATCAATGGTTCAAAGCAATTCTACAATGTTGAAATGTTGTCAGGCGAAATCTCCTATATTGAAAAAACCCATTGGAGATCACCAACATTGACATCTCTAGAGGTGGAAATCCTAAAATGTTGATCAATTTGGAGAAAAATACTGTAGTCAATGAATTACTAACCTTAGTTACTTTAGAGAAACAGGCCATACTTAATGAATCACTAACCTTGGTCACTTTGGAGAAACAGGTTATAGTTAATGAATCACAAACCTTGGTCACTTTGGAGAAACAGGTTATAGTTAATGAATCACAAACCTTGGTCACTTTGGAGAAACAGGTTATAGTTAATGAATCACAAACCTTGGTCACTTTGGAGAAACAGGTTATAGTTAATGAATCACAAACCTTGGTCACTTTGGAGAAACAGGTTATAGTTAATGAATCACAAACCTTGGTCACTTTGGAGAAACAGGTTATAGTTAATGAATCACAAACCTTGGTCACTTTGGAGAAACAGGTTATAGTTAATGAATCATAAACCTTGGTCACTTTGGAGAAACAGGTTATAGTTAATGAATCACAAACCTTGGTCACTTTGGAGAAACAGGTTATAGTTAATGAATCACAAACCTTGGTCACTTTGGAGAAACTGGTTATAGTTAATGAATCACAAACCTTGGTCACTTTGGAGAAACAGGTTATAGTTAATGAATCATAAACCTTGGTCACTTTGGAGAAACTGTTTATAGTTAATGAATCACTAACCTTGGTTACTTTGGAGAAACTGTTTATAGTTAATGAATCACAAACCTTGGTCACTTTGGAGAAACTGTTTATAGTTAATGAATCATAAACCTTGGTCACTTTGGAGAAACTGTTTATAGTTAATGAATCACAAACCTTGGTCACTTTGGAGAAACAGGCTGTAGCTATAACATTGACTGTCTTTGTGTCATTCCATATGTTTCTTCTGTACAACTCTATCATGACACCCTAAAATAAAGAGTAAATATTGAAATCTTCACTGTGCTTTCTATTTCCTGTATACAATATATCTGTGCCAAAGATTTTACAACAAAGTGTGTAACACATTTTTTAGTTTACTTGAAACAGGAATGTTAGTCTACACATATGAAACTCAATCCTCAAGTACTATACTTTGATACAACAAACAACTTAACTTAGCTCTATTCAAGACCAGAATGAATACTGAAATTTTGAAATCTATTTCATTTGTGTCATCAAATATGTACTTACCAGCGACATTTTGGCAGCTATTGCATTATTGTCTTTCAGCATTGTGTACATAAAGTTCTGTAATGTCTGTTTTAAGAAAAGATAAAAACACAATAAATCAGAGTAAAAAGACTCCAAACAGTTAAACACTGAAAAACCATATTTTAGAGTGGCTCAAATTTCCAAACTAAAGAAAAACAAAACAAAACAATGTAATACAAAATGTGACATTATCCCAGCACCCCGCTATTTTAAAAGAAAGACACATAATCAAATAATAAGTATTTCTTTCTCAGAATTTTTCGGTTTGAAAATAAATAGGAGATCACATAGTGATCTTCACAACTAACCATTGTTTGGTCTTTATGCATTCTTCAAAAGTTTTTCCTTCTTTTCACTTCTTTTCTCTGTTTTTGCTTTTAATTAAATGAAATTTGAACATTGTTCTTAACAAATAGTGGTAATAATCTTTAAATGCTGCCTGTCTGTCATTTTGTTTTTATGATCATCAGCTCTAAAATTAAAATGGGCACAACTGAAGACCAAGTTTATATTTGTGATACTTTGCTGGTGTTATTTAATATTATGATTAATGATGAGCTTTGAGATTATCATTATCTTATATCCTACTGGCATCATTTACGGACATGCCAGGTTTGGGTAGTGAATGAAAGCCAGAGTACCTGGAGAAAAGTCACTGATCTATCACCAGTACCTGATGACTGCCACACATTTATAAACCAGCAACCCAAAGCTGGAGGGCTAGTGATAAAGATGGTCAGACACCTTAACCATTCAGCCATCACTTCCAAAAATATAAAAAGTAATTATGTGACACCACACATGTTCTATCATATATCAATGGGCAGAAAAATAAAACATACTCACTGTGTTGAGCTTGGCATTTTTGTGTTTGAAGTTGACATTCTTTATGTCACTAACAATGTAAGAATAGAGAGTTTTCCTCAGTAGTTTATCCTGGCAACGGAACAGTTCAAAAAATAACTCCAGAACACCAGTCGCTGGGATAAGGCTTTTGTTTCTTAGCAGGATTAGTGCCTTACAGAAAGTCTGTGCAAAGATGAGGGCAAAGAAAATAGCATTAGTACCAATATAAATATCTAATTTCTGGTGACTACAGATGAAGAAATTTCAGAAGTCCATTGAGACATGAACTCTAGCGACATATATTTGAATCAAAAATGTTGTGTATTCATAGTTATTCAATTTCTTAAATATTCATAATTTCAAAAAATACTTTACATCACAGATAAATTCATTTGGAATTGATAAACCAAGACAAATAAAAGACTTAAATTTGGTTGGCTTTGTCATCTGGTTATAAATAAACCTGAAACCATTTGTCACTTTCTTAAAAAAGTTGGCATGTATGCATTTATTTACACATTAACTATAAAATAAGTAAAATGGTAATTAGTATCCATCAATTGACTAAGTGTTTCAAGTTCAACATATGATTGCCAACAAACCATTCTCATAGTCTTATCTAGTACAGTGGCATGTTGCCGAAGCATATCCTGCAGATGTTGTGGGAAATCAGACACTTCCTCTTGGTAACACTGGGAAACTTGGGCAATAAATAATACAAGCTCGTCCAATGTCTTTGTGTAAGTTGAAGGTTGAAGATGAAATATCTGCAGATTTGACTCATAATGTCTATACTGTTGCATAAACTGTAATGAAGAAACAAAATCAATAAACCTACAAAACTTTCACAATAAAATCAGTGATATCTACACAATGTAGCTTGAAATCACAAGACTGATATATAGATCAGTCATATTTACCTTCAAGCAACTGGTGGTCCTGGGGTTGAGACCTTATCATGTCCCCATACGGTGACCTGCACCGGATCCATGGGAGGTATTTTCATATTTTAAAACACTACCACTCGACTAAAGGGAAATTCCCACTAGCTGGTAATCATATATGGCATATTGGTGTACTGGAGTTCTTTTGGGTGTTTTGGGTAGTAAATCATTGTGCCTTTATATATATATGCCATCACATACTCTCAATTTCTACACTTCTCGGACTGATCCTCCTTCAAAAAGTCTTAGACTGAGCATACAGCATATTGGATGTAAATTAAGACAAGTACAGATATATTAGCCATATATATATATATATATATATGTTGTCACGTTCTATTCTGAAAATTATAAAGAATGAACCTTTGGTGCTATATTTTCAAACAATTTGTACCTCACAAGTTATTCCCTTTATAACTAATATAAAACATCAGGGCAAATTCCACTATCGTTCAATGTAGAGAGTATACAAAAACAGCAAGGTTAGTTCATTTCAATGGTATTGCATAACTTTACAAAAGAATAAAGAAAATATCCTATCTTTTAACAGAACTATCATACGTCCCTGATTTGATGTAAATAACAGACTGGTCAGTGGAAGATATGTTGAACTTACCTTGTACCAATACTATAGTCAGAAAAATTAATCATATAAATGAAAAATATTATCTCGTACCGATGAAAACTATGTTTATTATACACACCTCATCTTTGTACGATCCAGGATCACGTTTTATGAGATTCTGCAGCTGTGGTAGATTACTTGGTAGCTTATTACGATTTTTATCTGACATTTTGTTTTGCACGTGTTGAATTTTAAACCGGAAGTTTTGATGTAGGGTGAAGCTAGCTTTAACGCGAATTTATTTTCGTATTTTAATTTATAAAGCTAGAGAATGTAATTACTTACATTTAGTCGTAAATTTAACACACGTATGTAAGGTGAAAATGGTTGTATTTGATATAATAACAAACGCATAACATATTTTACCCTTTTTAATTTTTAAATCATCTGAATCATTATAACGTTTTGTATTGAGGAAATTATAAAGCATTATGTCAAGCTTGAAATTGACATTGGCATTTGATAGTTTTCTCCCGAAATGACGATGAAATTCCCGACCTTGCTGCCTGGTGCAGTCGATCCATTGTGGTTTACAGTTGATAGACCATGTGACGATGAAAATGAATTGTCTGAACTAGAAGAGGAACACAATCTATGGGTAAAAAATATACAATTTCGATCAAGTGTCTTATGCATGAAGATCAGAGGGGCACGCGTATGGTTTAACTTTATATCGTCTGGACATCATAACCAAAACACAATAATTCCAGTATTTATACACACTTTGAATCCAACATTTGCATTCTTTTTCAAACTTGGTTGGCATTCAAACATGCAATACTCCTTGACATGACATTGAAAGGCAATTTTATTTGAATTTGGATTTAAACAAAAATCGGTGTCTGTTTGTTATAATCTCAACCTTATCTTTTAATATTTCCCATCTATTTTATATTTTGTTATCGGAATTTTCCTGCAGTAATTCAATAACTTATAAATGACATATTGATCTAATAGCACTGCATGTTTTCCTCAGCGTCATTCTTCTGATTCAGTGGGTTTTGGAATTTCTTTGAATTGTGTTTTTTTCACCTTTCTGATCTTGTCATAAGTTTCAACCTCTTTTACAGATTTACAGACTTTTAAAATAAGCATTTTCGGTGGAATTTCAGTTCCACAATTATTATTTCAGTTCCATGTTTGTTTTCATTTTTTGTCATTAGTACATATACTTTTCTGTCAGCAGGTTAGTTGTTCATTTCTTGATGGATAGCTATCAAAGTTCACATACTTATACAAGAACACAGTATTTGGAACTAGTGTGAATTTCATGGCTCAAGGGTCAAGGTCATTACTTAGTTACTTATTTGTAGAAAGTCGTTGTCCGCACGGTGGTTTCATTTCTTGAGAAATTTTGACCAAACTTTACACATAGGCTATAACATCCAAAACATGTTTGAGATGGACATTGAAAAATCAAAGTCATGGTCACTGTAACTATTTTCAGAAAATAATTTGCTGTTTTTTATATGAAACCTCCAGACATATGATGATATCATTTAGATATTTCAATATTGGAGTTCAGAACATGTTGCATATTTAGTGAAAATTACAAGCACAAGAAAAAAAACCTTTTTATATAACATTTTTCTTTGGTAAAGCATGGACATATATCGACATACTCTATTTATTTTTTTTATGACATACTTTATATTGCATACATGTCTTATATATAACTTAATTGATATATAAATGTAATATGTATTCAATTTTCATTTCTAGCTGGAGAGCATAGCAAAGAAAGACAGTAACATCATACCAATTGGGAAAACTGCTGTTGAGGTAAATCCATCCTGTTAACTCAATAAATTTTGCATGTGATTTGTTTTCATGTAATTCCATGAAGTTATATGTCAACAAAATGAAAAACAAATAAAAGTTTACATAGACGACAATACATGCACTTGTAGATTTTGTTAGCAACATTTATCCACAAAATCAAGTGCCAACAAAAATGTTTATTTTTGGAACTCATGAAATTCAAGTCTCAGTAGCTGTAACAATTAATATCCTTCATCACATATACACATAGATCAAATGCAAAGTGGAATATAACTATTACATTTTATTTGCCAAAAGCAATAAGTAGATACAGTTATAAAGTAAGTTGTATATGATTTTCATAAAATACTTTGAATGAGACAAAATTCGCTTTTCCTTATGTTTGGCTAAGTAATTCACCCTTTCATACAGTAAGGGAATTATCTTACTATCTTTTGTACCTATACTTAAAAGAGAGAGAAAAAGCCTGTTACTTCCGATTTGATGTGTCCTCATCTTCCATATGGTACCAAAAGGAGGTGGTGGGTCACAACAAGCTGGGATGGTTAGATTGGAGTTTTATTAATTTGTATGCTGTCAACTCATACAACTTTGTACTGCTGTATATAAGAAAGAACAACTAGAAGCTTCGTGGATGAAACTTGAAGTTTGCACATAGAAATATCCTTGACTCATTTATTCAAGGTCACAGGGGTAAATTTATTTAACAACCAAAAAAAAATTAACCATCTTCTGATTAACAAAATGACAGGATTCTTATTTGGTAGGTAGGTTCCTTGGAAGAAGCATGACAAACTTTGCAGAAAGAAATTACCTTGACCTATATTCAAGGTCACAGCTACCTAGGTGTCATATATTTCAAAGACTCAAACAACTTCTTCTGGCTATCTAAATATGTAGAATCATCACATTTCTCTGATAGATTTCTGGGGTGAAGACTAACAATGTTTGTCTGGAAAAATGGCTTTTACATATTCAAGCTTACCGAAGAGTCCAAGTTGTTATAACAAAGAGCACCTTCTAACTAAACGAAAGATATGGAGAGTTTGTATCAGAAAGAAGTTAGCATTGTTAATTGTAGCCTTGCATATAATTCAGTTTCAAGTTTTAAAACCTGAAAATGTTAATTGAAATTTTTTGGAGAAGGATTCAGTTGTTGATGAAAAATATGTTAAGCCTGTTTTGTGAGAGCATTGAATATCAGAAATTGGTTAATTTAGAATTTAGAGAAGGCATGTACAGTACTACCCATTGTGGAAAAGGGAATTCTAGGCTTGTTTTAAGAAACAGGGAAATTTTGGACAACTCTTTTAATCAGAATTCAAAAAATGGAATGGGTTAAAAGTAATACATACATGATAATCCCGGTACATGAATAAGTTATGACAATGGTGTGGTTAGATTGATATTGCATAATTTGAAATATGTGAAGTATTGATAGACTAATTTTCCCTACTTGGGGAAATATCCCCATGTTTCAGTATTTCTCCCTGATGGGAAATATGTTTATGTTTAGAGGGGTAACATATCACTTGGGGAATGCTACCCTTTTCTGGTAATAAAATTTGTCAAGATTAATCCCTGCCAGGTGAACAATGCAGGTCAATTTTGCACTTGTACAAAATTAGAAAGTCTCAAATGACTCATCTGCATGGTGTGATTTATACTAATGGGCCTGTTTCTTTATCATTTTATAATATTTCATAGAATCTTGAGGATGAAGAAGAGGATGAAGAAGATGATGAAGGTGATGATGATGATGAAAGTGACACAAATGATGATGATCTTGACATAGATATGCTTGATGAAAGGGATTCAGGAGATGACGCAGGTAAATTGTTAGATTTGATAGTTGGCGATATTCACAGATGATTTGATTTCTCAATAATCACTGTGATCAAAGATAGCATGAAAAAATTTCTCTGCAAATATTTTTGAAGGGAATGAAAAATACCAGAAAAGATTGCAAGCCTGAAGGCAGGGATAAAAATGTATAAGACTTTTTTCCTTTTTCTGTTAAAAATAATGTTTCAGGAAATTTGATCTTAGTTAACTGGCCCAATAAAATGAAAAGATAATGTTTCAGGAAATTTGATCTTAGTTAACTGGCCCAATAAAATGAAACATAATCTATATTTTCCACCTTCCAACCATACTCCACCTTCCAACCATACTTCACCTTCCAAACATACTCCACCTTCCAACCATATTTCACCTTCCAACCATACTCCACCTTCCAATCATACTTCACCTTCCAATCATACTTCACCTTCCAAACATACTCCACCTTCCAAACATACTTCACCTTCCAATCATACTCCATCTTCCAACCATACTCCATCTTCCAACCATACTTCACCTTCCAAACATACTTCACCTTCCAAACATACTCCACCTTCCAACCATACTTCACCTTCCAACCATACTCCATCTTCCAACCATACTTCACCTTCCAACCATACTCCATCTTCCAACCATACTCCACCTTCCAACCATACTTCACCTTCCAAACATACTTCATGTTCCAACCATACTCCACCTTCCAACCACGACTTCACCTTCCAATCATACGTCACCTTCCAACCACACTCCACCTTCCAACCATACTTCACCTTCCATCCAAACTCCATCTTCCAATCATACTTCACCTTCCAACCATACTTCACCTTCCAACAGTAATCCATGTTTCAGCTGTACTCCATCTATTGATTCACCTCCTGATTATACTCCATCTGAATACTCAGTCTTCTGAAAATTCTACACTTCCTGATTCTGCTCCACCTACTAACATTACTCCACCCTCTGACTGTACTCCATCTGAGTATTCAGTCTTCTGAAAATTCTACTCTTCCTGATTCTGCTTCACCTACTGACATTACTCCACCCTCTGACTGTACTCCATCTGAGTATTCAGTCTTCTGAAAATTCTACACTTCCTGATTCTGCTTCACCTACTGACATTACTCCACCCTCTGACTGTACTCCATCTGAGTATTCAGTCTTCTGAAAATTCTACACTTACTGATTCTGCTCCACCTACTGACATTACTCCACCCTCTGACTGTACTCCATCTGAGTATTCAGTCTTCTGAAAATTCTACACTTCCTGATTCTGCTTCACCTACTGACATTACTCCACCCTCTGACTGTACTCCATCTGAGTATTCAGTCTTCTGAAAATTCTACACTTACTGATTCTGCTTCACCTACTGATGTTACTCCACCCTCTGACTGTACTCAACCTGAGTATTCAGTCTTCTGAAAATTCTACACTTACTGATTCTGCTCCACCTACTGACATTACTCCACCCTCTGACTGTACTCCATCTGAGTATTCAGTCTTCTGAAAATTCTACACTTACTGATTCTGCTTCACCTACTGATGTCACTCCACCCTCTGACCTTATTTCATCTTCTGACTGTATTCAATCTGAGTATTTAGTCTTCTGAAAATTCTACACTTACTGATTATGCTCCACCTACTGACCTTACTCCACCCTCTGACCTTACTTCACCCTCTGACTGAACTCCATTTTCCAACTGTACTCCATCTTCTGCATTGATCTGTAGTGTCTGAGAATTTATCAATCTTTTGTACGTTTTCTATTACAGGATGATCTGTGCTATAATTGTTACCATGGAGAGGAAAAGTCAGACTATTTCTAGGATAAAGATACCAGTGGATAGAAATGTCAAGACAAGGGCAGACAAAATGTCCAGACAAGGACAGACAAAGACTTGTGATACACTTGAGTTATCACATGATTAGTTAAGCTGTACATCATGGACTAACTGTTACCTCATTTGAACATGTCAACAGGGTACTATATCTTCCATTAGTAGATGTTTAGAATTTTCTACTTGAACATTTGGTTGCAGCAGTTATGAAGTACAAACTGTCTTTTTACTAACTGCTTATATATTGTACGTAACATAGCTTTGAAAATATTTTGTAAAATTGTGGATGACGTACAACATGTGTGCTGTATATTCTTCATAAATAAAACATGCTTATATATATATATATATCTATATATTTTTTTTGTTCACTCGTGATAAATATCAGGATGTTCCCATACATAATGTATGTACATGTAAACTGGTCCTTGTCACCACTCGCAGCGGCTGCATTCATTTCACATCTATAAAGCAACATTATGTCTCAGACAAGATAAGAGTTTCAGGATTGTCAGGTCTATTGAGCTCATTCCTGGAGGGTTTTGATCAAACATCAGACAATCGGCAATAAGTATAAGTTGACAAGTAACCTCAGTGTGTCCTCTGCTTGCCCTGAATTAACTGACAATATGAATGACTAGTTATCCCTTCATCAGCTGACACATTCCAGCACAGCCTAAATGTAATGGGCAACATCTTGCCTGTTACAGGTCACTCAAGTAGGTTTTCAATAAACTGCAAATCTGTGGTAATGTTTTCACTCTTTAGTAAAATATAGAAAGAATGGCGATCTTGGATTCACTGGTGACTGGTGAGAATTTATAATGGTTACTTGATCCAGATACAACATATTTTGTCAAGAAACATATCATTACATTATCTTCTGACAGCTATTAATGATGTGGATGTCGATGAAGAGCCAAAATCAGAACCAATTCCAAGTCTGGAACTCCTAAATTTATTCAAAATATTCTATATCATACTTTAAGATACAGAGGTCTTTCCCTCCTTTCATTGTGTGAATGTTGAGTGTATCTGGTAAGTTTAATGATGAATCTGTCTATGTAAGGTTTTGCTTGATTGAAATTAAATATTGAAATCTAAATCTTAGTCTTTGTAATCTTTTGGTATTGGTACAAGTACAAACTTCAGTAGTGAAGGTTGGTCCAAATTAATTTGACAAAACTGACAAAAGGGGAAAAATTTTCAGTATTTGTTACATTGATATTTTGTAAATTCTTTTCAAAAAACCAATTTTTATCAATTATTACACTGTTGCTATCAAATGTAGTAGTATCAGCATCCAATTAGACAACACTCGGACAACATCACCATACGACTACACTAAGGGTAGGGAAGGGGGACCAATCTGGTCAGACAACACCACCATACGACTACACTAAGGGTAGGGAAGGGGAACCAATTTGGTCAGACAACACCACCATAGAGCTACACTAAGGGTAGGGAAGGGGAACCAATTTGGTCAGACAACACCACCATAGAGCTACACTAACGGTAGGGAGAGGGACCAATCTGGTCGGACAACACCACCATAGGGATACAGTAAGGGTAGGGAGGGGCACCAATCTGGTCAGACAACACCAACCTAGAGCTACACTAAGGGTAGGGAGAGGGACCAATCTGGTCAGACAACACCACCATAGAGCTACACTAAGGGTAGGGAAGGGGGACCAATCTGGTCAGACAACACCAACCTAGAGCTACACTAAGGGTAGGGAGAGGGACCAATCTGGTCAGACAACACCACCATAGAGCTACACTAACGGTAGGGAGAGGGACCAATCTGGTCGGACAACACCACCATAGGGATACAGTAAGGGTAGGGAGGGGCACCAATCTGGTCAGACAACACCAACCTAGAGCTACACTAAGGGTAGGGAGAGGGACCAATCTGGTCAGACAACACCACCATAGAGCTACACTAAGGGTAGGGAAGGGGGACCAATCTGGTCAGACAACACCAACCTAGAGCTACACTAAGGGTAGGGAGAGGGACCAATCTGGTCAGACAACACCACCATAGAGCTACACTAACGGTAGGGAGAGGGACCAATCTGGTCGGACAACACCACCATAGGGATACAGTAAGGGTTGGGAGGGGCACCAATCTGGTCAGACAACACCAACCTAGAGCTACACTAAGGGTAGGGAAGGGGGACCAATCTGGTCAGACAACACCACCATACAACTACACTAAGGGTAGGGAAGGGGAACCAATTTGGTCAGACAACACCACCATAGAGCTACACTAAGGGTAGGGAAGGGGAACCAATTTGGTCAGACAACACCACCATAGAGCTACACTAACGGTAGGGAGAGGGACCAATCTGGTCGGACAACACCACCATAGGGACACAGTAAGGGTAGGGAGGGGCACCAATCTGGTCAGACAACACCAACCTAGAGCTACACTAAGGGTAGGGAGAGGGACCAATCTGGTCAGACAACACCACCATAGGGGTACACTAAGGGTAGGGAGAGGGACCAATCTGGTCAGACAACACCACCATAGGGCTACACTAAGGGTAGGGAAGGGGGACCAATTTGGTCAGACAACACCACCATAGAGCTACACTAAGAGTAGGGAGAGGGACCAATCTGGTCAGACAACACCACCATAGGGCTACACTAAGGGTAGGGAGAGGGACCAATCTGGTCAGACAACACCACCATAGGGATACAGTAAGGGTAGGGAGGGGGACCAATTTGGTCAGACAACACCACCATAGGGCTACACTAAGGGTAGGGAGAGGGACCAGTCTGGTCAGACAACACCACCATAGGGATACAGTAAGGGTAGGGAGGGGGACCAAGGTCAGACAACACCACCATAGGGCTACACTAAGGGCAGATTCGCTTCAAATGAAATTTTTAACTCCTTCACAATGTAATTTTAAAATTTATGGTTAATCACAACATTTTCACCAATAACTATGAGTTTCTAGTGATTGTGTTTATGAAGTATTCATCATTCTGTATTCTATGTAAAGATTACAGCTGTGTTAATTATCGTAGTTTACAACAAATCATTATGTGGTGTTCATTATTCTGTATTCTATGTAAAGATTACAGCTGTGTTAATTATCGTAGTTTACAACAAATCATTATGTGGTGTTCATTATTCTGTATTCTATGTAAAGATTACAGCTGTGTTAATTATCGTAGTTTACAACAAATCATTATGTGGTGTTCATTATTAGGTAACTTGGCCCTTCAGAAGAACTTAGCTATTTTTCTGTCCTGTTTTACAATTGAAAAAAGGCTGTTTATGAAGGAACCACTTCATATTTGGCCGATAAAATTTGCAATCTGAAATGAGCCTGATTTATATTCAAGGTCACAGGGGTTAAATTTATACAAAAATAATAGCTATTAAGTTATAACCAAAATGGCCTAGAATCTTGATATTTGGCAGAAAGATTAGAATAAATCCCATTTTTGGATGAAGCCTGACAAAGTTTGCAAAAGGAATTCACCTTGGCACATATTCAAGATTACAGGGCCAAATTTTCTGTACAAAATGTCCTAGAATTGAAACATTTGACTGCACAGTTCCTAGGATAACGCTCAACAATGTTTGTGGAAAGAAATGACTTTGACCCATATTCCTGGTCACAGGGGTCAGATTTGTTAAAACGCAATGAATGATTGCATACTGTAATGTTTAAATCTCTACTGTTTGAATCTATATAAATAAGCATAAAAATGGAAATAAAGAAGACATTTATTTTTCTCTGTTTTAGTCTTGGTTTCCGTAAAATTTTTGGTTTACAATGTTTTGCACAATTTCTGTAGATTTCTTAAACAATTCCTCTTGTAAATCTTTATTGTACGATATTCCTTTTGAGGAAACTTGAGAACAATTGTCAAAGTATTCACCACTTCTTCCCTCTAAACTGTCTGATAGAGCGAGAAACAGGATCCCGTCTGCACCCTGTACTGGTGTCTGGAAATATATAAGGAACAACAGAATCAAACATACTTCTTGACATCTAAGAAAGAAATTGTATATTTACAGGCATTTCAAATATTATTAACAAAAACAAACTAAAAAGTAAAACTCCACAGCCTCCACAAACCATGTCCCCTAACAGCCTCCATAAAATATGTTCCCTTATAGACTCCACAAAACATGTCCCCTAACAGCCTCCATAAAATATGTCCCCTAACAGACTCCACAAAACATGTCCCCTAACAGCCTCCATAAAATATGTCCCCTAACAGACTCCACAAAACATGTCCCCTAACAGACTCCACAAAACATGTCCCCTAACAGCCTCCACAAAACATGTCCCCTAACAGACTCCACAAAACATGTCCCCTAACAGCCTCCACAAAACATGTCCCCTAACAGACTCAACAAAACATGCGTCCTAACAGACTCCACAAAACATGTCCCCTAACAGCATCCACAAAACATGTCCCCTAACAGACTCCACAAAACATGTCCCCTAACAGACTCCACAAAACATGTCCCCTAACAGACTCTACAAAACATGTTTCCTAACAGACTCAACAAAACATGTTTCCTAACAGTCTCCACAAAACATCTCCCCTAACAGACTCCACAAAACATGTCCCCTAGCAGACTCCACAAAACATGTCCCCTAACAGACTCCACAAAACATGTCCCCTAACAGACTTCAAAAAACATGTCCCCTAACAGACTCCACAAAACATGTCCCCTAACAGCCTCCACAAAACATGTCCCCTAACAGACTCCACAAAACATGTTTCCTAACAGACCCAACAAAACATGTTTCCTAACACACTCAACAAAACATGCGTCCTAACAGACTCAACAAAACATGTGTCCTAACAGACTCCACAAAACATTTCCCCTAACAGCCTCCACAAAACATGTCCCCTAACAGCCTCCACAAAACATGTCCCCTAACAGACTCAACAAAACATGTCCCCTAACAGCTTCCAAAAAACATGTCCCCTAACAGCCTCCACAAAACATGTCCCCTAACAGACTCCACAAAATATGTCCCCTAACAGCCTCCACAAAACATGTCCCCTAACAGCCTCCACAAAACATGTCCCCTAACAGCCTCCACAAAACATGTTCCCTAACAGACTCAATAAAACATTCCCTAACAGTCTCCACAAAACATGTCCCCTAACAGACTCCACAAAACATGTCCCCTAACAGCCTCCACAAAACATGTCCCCTAACAGCCTCCACAAAACATGTCCCCTAACAGACTCAACAAAACATGTCCCCTAACAGACTCCACAAAACATGTCCCCTAACAGCCTCCACAAAACATGTTCCCTAACAGCCTGTCCTTACAGCCTCCCCTTTTAGCCCCTACAAATTTATTGCCCAAAGTTTGGAACAAATCAATAAATTTTCACAATCTGAAACTTAGCTGTCAGCATCCGTACACTAATATCCAGTTAATGGTGAACCGTAAGACAACAATCAACAGAAGATAAGGTATCACCATAGTAATCTCCATCTCTAGACAATATGCAAATCAAATGTCACATCATAGAAATGTGAAATTATATAATTACAAACCAAATGTGATGTGAGCCGGAAATTGTACAGCAAAGTTTCTAAATACTACGTAATTACACATCCAAGATATACCTGTATACTGATGTTTATACAGTCCTTATCTTATCTTAAAATATACCTGTATACTGATGTTTATAGTCCTTATCTTATCCTAAAATATACCTGTGTACTGATGTTTATAGTCCTTATCTTATCCTAAAATATACCTGTGTACTGATGTTTATAGTCCTTATCTTATCCTAAAATATACCTGTGTACTGATGTTTATAGTCCTTATCTTATCCTAAAATATACCTGTGTACTGATGTTTATAGTCCTTATCTTATCCTAAAATATACCTGTGTACTGATGTTTATAGTCCTTATCTTATCCTAAAATATACCTGTGTACTGATGTTTATAGTCCTTATCTTATCCTAAAATATACCTGTATACTGATGTTTATAGTCCTTATCTTATCCTAAAATATACCTGTATACTGATGTTTATAGTCCTTATCTTATCCTAAAATATACCTGTATACTGATGTTTATAGTCCTTATCTTATCCTAAAATATACCTGTATGGTGATGTTGATAGTCCTTATCTTATCCTAAAATATACCTGTATGCTGTTATTCATACACTCGAGATATAATCCTATTTATGCCAGCAGGGTTGTATTCATACACTCCTGATCTCTTTCTAGAATTCAATTATAAGAGATGGATTCCTTGCATAGAAAAGTATCTTTAGAAAAGTATCATTACTGATAAATATATACAGTACAGTTAAATACAATAATAGTCTATCTAAACATAACCATTTTGTTAAACAGTTGTACAATTTCATTTTGAAACTACATGTATAGAAACATTGTCACGAAAAAAAATCAGTTTCCCTCAGACTTTTTAATTTACCTTGTAGGTCAGCCTAGCTACCACGTCGAGTAACCATTTAATTCCCCAGTGTACATGTCGGTACAGAGGCGTGTTAACAATACCAGGATGGACAGCATTTATAGATACTTTAGAGTTCTCTGCCCTTAGATTTGCATCAAGGTAGTATGTAGCTAATACAATGGCCAGCTTTGAGTCTGCATAGGCTGCATGTGGTGAATACTGCGACCAATGTTTACATCTGTGTGTAAAAAACAGCAATTAATTAGTTAATGTTCAGAGAAATTAATCAGAATATGGAGTAGTGTCCAATGAAATGGATACCAAGAATATAAATTATTGAGGCAACAAAATAAAATGGTCATGATGATTATGTGACTTTGTTTTGAATATCAAATTCTCAAAAACTAATCAGGGTAGCTTTTGATTAATCTTACTTATAACCACAGGATGCCTCAGTCCAAGAAGTCTTACTGACTAACACACCTTATCACTTTTAACATTTGAATCTCAAAATGAATAATCATTTTAAAAAGTTGATTCTACAAACAAAATAAGACGGTTCAATTAACCTATCTGATATAGAATTTGAAATGCTTTGTTTCCCTGGTCATTAACAGACACTAGAGTAGTCTATCAATCAATACATAAGTGTAAGCAGGGATTGGAAATTGTTTCAATTCAAAATTAATCATTGGTTAAAATTTGATATGCTTTACAATATAGTCAATCAATTTCATATTCTGCCAACTGTTTATTCAATACTCACGGAAAGTGACTGTATTTTCTCAATTGCAATAACACTTTTTTTTATATATAACTTTAATCTGAAATATCTCACTTACCAAGAATTAGCATAAGAGGCAATGTTTTTTGGTAATTAGCACCTTTATTATGCTAAGTTTTAATTTTGTTTTTGCTAAAACACAAGAAAATACCAATGATCGGTTTTGGAAAATTACAATCGATTATCTCAAACAATAAGATTATCAATTATGTCTGATCATTGTCCAATCACTATACATGTATTTTGTGGTCTGACTTACTTTTCTCCAAGCATTTCAACATCAATGCATCCAACACTCTGTACTACAGAAGACACATTAATTATCCTGGAGTGTGAGTTATCTGCCCCTGACTCACATAGCTTCCATAGCAACAGTTTTGAGAGATATAAATGTCCCAAGTAATTCACTTGAAAGTGATATTCCATCTCATCCTCAGTCTCTTTGTAGGGCATCAACATTACACCAGCTTTTAGAGAGAAAAAAATCCAAACAAATGAGGAGATACTGTTCTGGAATAATTTGTACCGTCAGTATGATAAAACATAGAAATACAAAAAATATAATTGTAATGAATGAAATTAACAGGAAAAAATAACCACTTTTAATTCATTCTTTTAAATGGCTCCAATATGGAAAAATATGAAATTTAGTCTACTCAATCTAATTCACAAAAATTAAATTCTAAACAAACCTGAGTGTCATTATATCAATAATTTTTCCTATGTCCTTTTCTATATGACTGGTGAATGAGGCATAGTCTGCTAAGTTTGTCAATTGTTATACCAGTAGGCTAATATTGTGATAATCTATTTTGCTTTATTCTCCTGTTATCTTATTCTGTCACCATGACATTGTATGTAAATAATTTCGTGGTCAATTTTTCATAAATTTGCATTTTCATCTAAACTGGTTAAATAAAAGTTTAAATAAAAAGATATCTGATGTTATGCTCCTGTACCTACCTAGCATTGTGTATCCTTCCCTCCCAATCAGTGTGTATCCTCCTGTACCTCCCATTGTGTTCCCTGTATCTATCAGAGTGTATCCTCCTGTACCTCCCATTGTGTTCCCTGTATCTATCAGTGTGTATCCTTCTGTACCAACCATTGTGTTCCCTGTATCTATAAGTGTGTATCCTTCTGTACCAACCATTGTGTTCCCTGTATCTATCAGTGTGTATCCTTCTATACCAACCATTGTGTTCCCTGTATCTATCAGTGTGTATCCTCCTGTACCAACCATTGTGTTCCCTGTATCTATCAGTGTGTATCCTTCTATATCAACCATTGTGTTCCCTGTATCTATCAGTGTGTATCCTCCAGTACCAACCATTGTGTTCCCTGTATCTATCAGTGTGTATCCTCCTGTACCAACCATTGTGTTCCCTGTATACTTTCAGAATATTTTATTGTCATGGTGGTATTGACAGTAGGAATTGGGCAACAGGCAGAGCCTATGAAAGCCCTCTCCTTACAGTGCATAAACAAGTATACAGACACATCAATCAAAATTAGAGATAACAGAAAATAATAATATTAGGAATAAAAATGTAGAAGATAGATTCAAATGGATGATTATATAACAGAAATGCAAAATAGGCATCACCATCGTTTGTATTATTGAGTACCAGAACAGTAACATAAACTAAAAAATACAAATTAGGTATCACAAGATATTACAAGACTGGGTCAAAATGTGTCCATTTGTGGTGGGACAGGCTGCAGGTTCAAACAGTCCATTTGCACATAATCCTGAGCTGAGTCCCTAAAATGGACAGGCGGACCCACACTTGAGACATCAAATACAAATGAGAGATAGAAAAGATAGAAGTATAGAATGGGATGTACATTTGCTAAAATAGGCGACCAGTGTCAGTTATGAATCTCTGAACTATATCAAGAATAAATTTATTCATGTTTGCATCAAGTATAGGAGAACCTTTGAGAAATGTATCAATTGAAGGAGGTATAGAATCACTAAGGTCAGAAAGGGAATTAAAGAGGAGTTGTCTCTGGTTAGTAAAGAAGGGACAGTGGAAAAAGAAGTGGGTACAATCTTCAACTGGGTGGCCACAGTTACAGGCAGGGTTATCTTTAAGGTGGGAATTGAATAAATCAAAATTCAGATTACTTGCAGAGTTTCTTAGTTGACATAAAATTATGTTAGCTTTTCTTTGTCCTTTATATTTGAAACTATCATTACAGTGGAAAGGAGGAATGGTAGTTTGCTGTGATAAAAAAGATTTTTTTATCGCATAAATAGAAGTTAATGAGGGATACAGACAAGATGGGCCATTCCATTCATTCATAAGTTTTGGAAAGAAGCTAGTGCTATATTGACAAGTTCTTGTATGGGGCACATCAAACAATCTATTGTGTCGAAGTGGATAAGGAGCATTATTATTGTTTATAAAAGGTTGGATAGAGTCAAATACATGAGGAGGGCATCTGTTATTTAAAATCTTAAAAAATGGATATTTTGATGTAAGTGTCTTCTTTTAGCTAAGGGTATTAATCCAGACTCATTATATAGAATTGCATGACTGGTGCCCCGTCTTAGGCCAGTAATAATGTGAATTGCCTCTAGTTGAATTGATTCTAAGATGTTGCATTCCCTTTCTGTGCAATTAGCCCAAACAATATCAGCATATTCTAAAATAGGACGAATAAATGTAATATATATTAATTCAAGTGACTTTCTGTCAATTTTATACTTTAACATTCTAAGTACATTTATTTGTTTATAAGCTTTCTCATAGATAGAGTTTATGTGGTTTGACCAATTAGCATGACTATTAAAAGTTAGACCAAGGTGCTTATGGAAGGTAACATTTTTAATAACTGAATCATCAAAGTACAGATTTGGATGCAACATCTCCGAATCAACTCTCCTTGAAAAAAGAAGGGATTCTGTCTTGTCAGGATTAAAAATAATACCCCATCTATTGGCCCACCTAGAAATTTTTTGAAGATCATTAGTGAGTATATTAGCTGCATCTTGTCTATCGCCCTCAATTAAGCCATATAAAGATGTGTCATCAGCAAATAATTTCACATTAGATAGTAAATCATCACCAATATCATTAATATATAACAAAAACAGATAAGGACCAAGAACTGAACCTTGAGGGACCCCAGCCTGTAATGTTTTCCAGTTGGACTTGTATCCATCCAAGACCACTCTCTGTCTCCTGTTAGTTAAATAAGATGAAAACCACTTTAACATGTTATTACTAATGCCATACTTTTTCAATTTAAAAATTGTGTTCCCTGTATCTATCAGTGTGTATTCTCCCGAACCAACCATTGTGTTCCCTGTATCTATCAGTGTGTATCCTTCTATACCAACCACTGTGTTCCCTGTATCTATCAGTGTGTATCCTCCAGTACCAACCATTGTGTTCCCTGTATCTATCAGTGTGTATCCTCCAGTACCAACCACTGTGTTCCCTGTATCTATCAGTGTGTATCCTCCTGTACCAACCATTGTGTTCCCTGTATCTATCAGTGTGTATCCTTCTATACCAACCACTGTGTTCCCTGTATCTATCAGTGTGTATCCTCCAGTACCAACCATTGTGTTCCCTGTATCTATCAGTGTGTATCCTCCAGTACCAACCACTGTGTTCCCTGTATCTATCAGTGTGTATCCTCCTGTACCAACCATTGTGTTCCCTGTATCTATCAGTGTGTATCCTCCAGTACCAACCATTGTGTTCCCTGTATCTATCAGTGTGTATCCTCCTGTACCAACCATTGTGTACCCTGTATGTATCAGTGTGTATCCTTCTGTACCAACCATTGTGTTCCCTGTATCTATCAGTGTGAATCCTCCTGTACCAACCATTGTGTTCCCTGTATCTATCAGTGTGTATCCTTCTGTACCATCCATTATGTTTTCTGTATCCATCAGTGTGTATCCTTCTGTACCAACCATTGTGTTCCCTGTATCTATCAGTGTGTATCCTTCTGTACCAACCATTGTGTTCCCTGTATCTATCAGTGTGTATCCTCCTGTACCATCCATTATGTTTTCTGTATCCATCAGTGTGTATCCTTCTGTACCAACCATTGTGTTCCCTGTATCCATCAGTGTGTATCCTCTAGTACCAACCATTGTGTTCCCTGTATCTATCAGTGTGTATCCTACTGTACCTACCATTTTCCCTCTACCTACCATTGTTAATCAGAATGTGTAAAGGGAGCCCTCTAGCAAGGAAATTGTCCACAAACTTGTTAACAGATTCTAGAGAGGCTAGATCCAGCAGCAGGAAATCAACTGAAAACAAAAATTGTTTTTAAATTGTTTTCCAAATTTAAAAGAAAAAAAACATTATTTTAAAGTAAACTTAGAATACTCCTACACACAAGCACATTTTATAAGAATATACATACGGCTCTATCCTTGTAGCGATTGACTAATATCAGCTATAGTTTAAACAGGGTACTTATGGATGTAAGAAATCAGTAATGTGATAACTATAAAGTCTTTGGCAGATGTATATAATTATATATCATTTTCAAAAGGTTCATTAGTTAAAGATGATCTTGGAGTTGACCTCATCATATTTCAGTGCATACTTAAGATTTAGGGATGAAAAAATAGAAAATTCATCTAATAATGGTATCAGGAAATTTTCTTGATTTAGCAGATTTCTTCGCTAGAGTATCACAAAATCATTAATTACAGATCAAATATACAGTAAATTCTTAAGGAATATCAGGATTCTGTCCAAATGTGGTCCGAAGCATCCTAGGGTGAAGCAAATCCATTTTTCAATATTTTCAGAAGTCTGGTACTTCTATTATTGTTCTTCAACATTCCTCTGTTTACAATAAATTACAATGATGATTATATAATATATCATTTAACTCTTGTTGTACCTTTGGCATTAGGAAATTCTTCTCTGATTTTGTTAATTGCCATCTTCCCTTCTGTGACACATTTACTGGCTGGAAAATGCAAAAACACTGCACTGACTTACAAGGTCTCAGTTTCTATACATACATTTATAAAAACAAGTCACATGGACAATGGATAAATTTAATCTTCTCTCGTTTTCAGATAATGTGTTTGGCTCTGGTTAAGCTGGAATATTTACAGAGAGTAGAAATTAATATATACATTGTACATTACATATATGTCTCTGCGAAAAATGACTGGAATTCTAAAATAAATCCATTTACAAATACAAATACTTTATGGACAAAAAATTCAGAGCCCTACCAGACAAAGCTCACCTATAAATACATGGACATTCTTGGCTACTAATCCTTTGGAAACTTCAAACCCTATCCCACTGGAGCCTCCCGTCACTATGGCTACTTTTCCTGTGTGAAGATGTAGATCTAATAAGAAAAAAGGAAAAAACAACAGTAATAAATCTGGTAAAAGTGTATCTTTCTATCTTTCATTTCCATCGACGTAGTAAATACAACAAAGTGGTTAAGTCATAAACCCATGAACAGGAGATCCCACTGGGATCTTGGCACCCATCATTGTATGATCTTTATTTGTTCTTTAGAAGTTGGATTTTCCTTCTTTTCTATTTTTTCATTCATAGTCATATGAAAATTGAGTATACCTCTCAAGAAATAGTGATAATGATCCCAGGTAGTTCAGTCACTTAAAATACCATTTTTAGAATTTTTACTAGTACTTTCCAATAAATAGAGATAATGATTATTCATTATCAGAATCCACGATGACACCTGCTGGCCATTTTTTAATTTGTCCGACAATGCCAATGCAATATGAAATCTGAGAATGATCCATCATTTATTTCTCAAAAAACAGCAATAACAAGAGGCCTACAGGGCTTGTATCACTCACCTGGGTTTGTTTGGTTATACTTGTTGTATCCAAATTAAAGGAAATAGGTTTCGAAAGATTTATATCTGTAAATTTATCTAGGAGTCCAACCCGAGTCTCTGACGTGATAATCCAAGTCCATACTAACACAGCCAAAGAAGCATGTTCCATCATTTGAGTGACAAGAGAAAAAATCTAGCACATAAACCTTCCATAACTTCCCTCTTCTTCATACCATCACAATGTAATAATACCCTATCACTTAGTATTAAGGTTGTTTATACCAGGTAGACTGGGTCACATGCACAGAAATATAGATATACAGTTCTAACCTGTGTTTCAGAAACTTTTATCATCTTCATTTCATATTGATAATTAAATGTATTGCTCTTCTGGAGTTTTGTTATAGGTCAAGAAGTACTTGCTCAAACACAATATCAACTCTGAAATGGTTACTATTAATTGAACAAATATGTCAAATATGTAAAGATTTGATATGTTATCACAACCAAACAATATGACATGTTGATGACAATATTGATGACAATGTTAATGACACAAAGCTTTACATTATTGGACCCTGTAAATACTTTAATTTTACATTATGGGACCCATTGGGTTTAGCAGTAAAGTTGAAAAGGACTCATGAAAATAAATTATAGATTGAACACTGTATAAGTATCATTTATGAGTTTGCTCATATTACAAATTAGCAGAAAGAGAGAAAGAAAAGAAAGAAAAAAAACAGTGAATAATGACAAAGATAGTACAGAACTTCAGTTTTGTCTGTGATACAAGATGGTTATTCACTTTACGATTAATTAGTTGTCTTCCTCTGACCAGCTGGGAGGCATTTCTAATACAAGAGACATGGTACATTTGTTACATCATTAGCTTCTGTCTCAGTGTGTAATTTGTCTTGTACTGATATTAGACACCAAGTGATGCCATGCTCTTTCTGATGACTATAACTGTAAATGGAGGTTAGCAAATTGGATCACAGAATTTGGAAATGAAAATAACTGAATTTTGTTTTGCAATTTTGACAAAAGTATGTACAAGCAATGGGAATCTATTTGTGGTTTATTTATCTCAGTATCGGGTTAACATCCAGTAACATCTTACTCTTGTCCTTGCCTCCAACAAGATTTTGTCTTCAAATAATTTCAGGCATACAGATAAGAGATTCTAACAATTTGCTGTAGTCTTTCCAAACCCCTAATGCTTGGTGTTGTAATCTGAACAAACTCTGACAAGAGCTGTGGAGAGTTTGCAGTTGGAGACTATAAAGGTTACAATATTCAAAAGGTTGAGGAGTTCTTCTCCTTCCGCTTAGAGGATAATGACATCCATCACAAATGATGATTTTAGTCATGCATTCAAAAGATTGACACTTTAAATGAGTGAAATTAAAGCCCCACCTTACATCAATGGTGAGTTACATTTCCATTATCAAGTTATTTTCTGGTATTTCCCTGTACATATTAATATTAGTAATTGGGTCATGTACTGTTATATAAAAATATGACGTCTTTATGAAAATGTTTGAAAGAACTTAATGTTTTCTTTTTCAAATGATTATGCATTTAAGTAACTTACTGATTACTTAAAGCAGTGACTGTCCCTCAAATACAGGACTTTTAACAACATTTAACTGATTTGTTTCAAAATCTTAGAAAAAAAACAATCACAGAACATTACAAGTCTCAGTGTTGAAAAGTGTATGTTGATGTTAAGGTATCGTCATATATTTACATGTGGAGATTTACATGACCAGGCTGTTACATCACGTGTTCTACCATCAGCTGATCATTCAGAGAACGGTAACTGTAGCCACAACAACGTCCAAACGTAAGTAAATATTACATCTTAATGGTTCACTCCGCTTTGTTTTCGAGTGTCATTTGGAAATAAAACCAACCTGTTGCAGTTTTGTGTCTCTGCAAAATTTGTCTTGCAAGGGCCAGTCCGCCAACGACATACATCTTTAATAAAGCCCATATTATATACAAGGTGCCTGTGAAACACTTCAAACGCGAAACGGCCATCTTTGTTTGGGAGTTCCCTTTTCAGCAAGGCGAAGGTCACATTATCATATCTATTTATAGACGCCTACTCCGAATGGGAATTTCCCAAAAGGATATATTTCTTTTCATTTAAATGTCATTAAATTTGTTGTCTAGCATTCGGAAAAAAGACTGATCATTCACTTTTAGACAGTAAGAGACATACCGGTTCCATTAACAGAAACTTTAATATTTTGTTTTTTTTTATCAAAAAAAAAAAAAAACGGTAAATATGGGGATATGAAACAATGCCAATGAGTCTTCTCCAGGGGCGTAGCTAACCCAGCAGAAATGTGTAAGCCCAGGCGAGTGGTCATGAATTTCATAATTTCAAAGATGTTTTGAATCGTTTACTGAGACAGTTTTCGTTTGTTTATTTAACAACAAACTTCAACCCCTGATATTTATTTTCAACCTTAGTTTTATAATTTTGTCCGACATACTCTATGCACGGAATTTTATGTGTAAGCCCGGGTTTTTTCTTTCTATAGAAGCTACGCCCCTGTTCTCTGTCGTGCCTCTTTCCTCACAGTGTCTCAGCTTTCCTCACAGATCTTAAGACTTATCACTATACACTCTGACAAAGTGAAAACGAAGGGCAGTAACTCCGTGAAATCAGAATGATTAACGTGTATACCGGGTACATACGTATTCCTCTACGTCTGACCGATCAGATCTCGAGCCATTCTGTCGGCCAGTGAGAAATGAATATGTTTTCTCACAAACATAATAATAATAATAATGGAGAAAAATTGATAAACACCATTAACACACCCATCGTTAACGCTTTTTAGTGTTAACTGTAACACTTTCTCTCAGTTTAACTTTTAAATGTGGTACTTCATGGAAAATAAACTGCATTGAGTTTGGCGAAAGAGTCATACAGTTTTATTATTTCAACATCTTTGTCCCTACTCTATTTGCCAGGTGGCGCTTTTGCCCCCTTCCTTCAAATAATGAGTTAGTTTGTGTAATTATTTAGAGAACGAGAACGTTTTTATCGTAATATTACATGTCTAAAATCCCTTTTTGAAACTGTTGAGATTTGTAAAATTCTACATTACCTGAAAGATGTTGGTCTATTTAATAGACCATGACGTACCATTTCAATCTTTCGTGTTAACATACCCATTTAAGATTTTTAACGTTGGTCTTTTACCTTTTGGTTTGTTTAATGTTATTTCCGTTTGGATCACGGTGTGTTTTACCGTTTGATGGCCCTAATGACCTTTAATGTGTTGACGGGCCGTTCAGAATGTAATAATAATAATCTAACCAAACCGTAATTGTCATTGTCGGTCACTTTTCCAGTACCTAACCAAACCGTAATTGTCATTGTCGGTCACTTTTCCAGTACCTAACCAAACCGTAATTGTCATTGTCGGTCACTTTTCCAGTACCTAACCAAACCGTAATTGTCATTGTCGGTCACTTTTCCAGTACCTAACCAAACCGTAATTGTTGTTTACGCTGCTTTGCTAGTGTTAAAATCGTCATAAAATTACTGGCAATGTGCATGTTTGTTTTGCTATAGAAAACAAAATGTATTTTAAAAATACAAGATATAACAAGTAAACAGGGTGATAGCCATTGTCTATCACTGGCGGACCCGGAGGCCGCGAGTGTTTGATGGATGAATACGTAGTAGTGGTCAGGACAAGAAACACGAAGAAAAGAGTGTATGTTAGTATTCCTTTTAAAAACATGCCATTTTTGGGTGTCGTGACAAAGTTACATTACATAAGATAACGAAAAATGCAAATTTATTTGAATACATCATAGATCATATGATATGACATCATTGTATATATTCTAATATGCTTTTTGATTTTCTAGTATTCTTGATCTTATTTAAGTTTCCCTCGAACAACTCACTGCTGCGAACATCGAACTAAAGCGCCATTGCTACTTGTATTTGAGAAAAGGGAATTAGCAAAATTGACTTCCGTGTTGTCAGGGTTTTCATTTAAAGGTTTCCTTCAATGACAGACGGAAGATAATGTAATCATGCAGTCATATACAAGTAAGTTAATTTCAAAATGTCATTAATTTGGTCGAAGAGAGTTTGCATTGATGGTAATAAAAGCCTGCATATACATAATGGATGAAACTGTGCCTCTTACCTGTTAATAAAGCCGTTGAATTATTCGGATTATTCTGGGCGAGATAGTAAATGTATAAACGTTTACAAGCGACCCGCGGCTGGGTGTCGGCATTCTTTCTGTGTGCGGATATGATCAGGATTTGTTTGTACAATTATCGAGTTTAGTTATGTATTGCTCATACGGGGCAGGTTTGAACGTTCATCGACATCAAACCAATGGAAAAAAACCGCGGGATTCAGGAAACGAGAAATAAGAAAAAAACATATGAAATTTAGTGAATTTCAATTTTCAGCTTGTACTTCAACGTCTTGAAGTGTTGTTTAATCCGATTAAACATGTATCATACATGAATACTATAATCAATTTACCATTTCCTCTCTGGTCACCAAATAACCCATTCTAAACTAAAGAACGCCATCGTTCAGTTGTTACGCTTTTTTGCCATGAAAAATTACAAAAAAGATGACGTTTGGTACAAATATTTGATTGTGAACTTTACTGAGATGTATTTCGTGAAAGAAACATATCCAAATCAACGAGGTCATATATAGAGGACGAAATAATAAAAATGATCGAGTTTCTGGTCGAGTTTGTGGTAAGATGTTCTAACAGTTTATTAGCATACTAACATCTCTGAAATGAAGTTGATATTAAATGATATATGTTCATTTCTACGTTTTTGTTAAACCAAGGAAAGTATAAAACTTCGCCATTTCTGGTTATTCTCTATCAAATTTTGCAGCTTCACCTTCTGTGCGAGAAAAAAGCATTATGCTTAGAGCAAATGTCGTTTAACATTATGGGTCGTTGCCCATAAACAGCAGTCATTCCAAGAGATTGAATAGATTCTAAAATCTGGTAAGTCAGATTGATTAACTTTTTACTTAGACCTTCAAACATGTGTTTTGTCTTTTTTTGTTACTCTAACTTTTCCTTAGTTCATTCATTGTAATGCGGTGACAATATTTTATATAAAGAAGTATGTGTCGTTAAATGGAAACAGTTAGTGTATCATTAAATCAAAGTCTCCAACACAGGGTCATGTTTCCTACTTATAACATGTCCTATTAAGTAGTTAAAATCATGCATGTATTGTAACTAGCATGCTTATCTTTACATTGTGATGTCAAATATGTAACAAAATACTGAAAGATAAAGAAGTTATGCGATCTCGAACTTGAAAAACATTTTTTAATCATTTTTTTAAAGATATGACAACTTTTTGCGGAAGTGAAACATGTACTTCCGGTTCTAGCACGCCAACAAGTTTTTTTTGGGTCATTATACTGTCTTCATACGGTGAAAATTTCAGAAAGATCGAGAATCGATAAAATTGTCATTTTGGGATAGGATTAAAAATGCCATCGTTCCTTCCTGCAGGGAAATCACAAGTAGATTACAGGCAAATGAAGATCGCCGATGTACAAAAAACTCGCTGGGTCGTGGATTCATACCACGGACGCATGAAGAAATGGATTTTCTTCAGAAAAAAAATATCATCCAATGTTATGATTCCAGTTATTGGCAAACTTGTGCGGATTGTAACGGCGAGTCTGAATGCATTTAGAGGTCCAAACTACAGCCAAGATCCTTTTCGAGAACAACGTGACATCCAGATGGCACAGCGTATGGTAAGAATCTCGGGCAAGGACAATGAATGAAACGCAAGGCTAGAAGCCTCCCAGATCCTTTTTCCTAAGTTAGATTTGGAATATCTGGAGAATTTGGCTTGCGGAACATACCAGCTGAAGCTTGCACCCGGATATATCTCTGAACACCAGACAGATGGTGGTGATTACGAGATCTGGGTGTACCAGCATGCCAATGATATCCGCAGAGGTCAAATACGATCTCGCTACATGTCAAGTATAATTCTTGGATTTAGTTTATTCCACATGGATCAGAGGATCCAGTCCAGGCATATTATTGTGTATGCCCTGCAGGAAAGAGAATGTGTGTTCATGTAGCATCCGTTCTTTATTATCCTGGATACTACGTACATTTGGCAAATGTCAAAGTGCTACAACCTTCTGCCAGAAAATTTAAAAAAATGCTTCTTGTGAGCATAGTTGAAAAAGACAATGAAACGCACTTTTTGATTTGTGACTTTCAGTTTTTTTACAGAGACTAAAAAGTCAATTTTTAGAGAAACTTTAGTAAATGATACTCTGATACAAATAAATATATTCCAGCAACTGTCTAACTGCACTTTGGTACAATCGTATTTAACAACACACTGAAATTGGATTGGTTCAAATCAAAGAAATCAAGAGTTGAAAGCTTTCATACAATGTACATTCCTTATGCTTAGGTTCATATTCAAACATCATGGCCATTAGTTATCACTACAGTTAACTTAGTTCACAGATTATCAATTTCAAGTCTCTGTATCCATTAAAAGCTCTATTGTGAACAAGAGACAGAATTTGGTTTATTTCAAAACATCACAAGCAATTAGAAGGTTTTACAATATCGAATCATGTAATTAACTCAACAAAATTCACTGAAAATGTTTCTGATGACATAATAGAAGTAATAGATAATATGTCAAAAAAGAATGATTGATTAAAAATCCAATAGAAACACAGACCTGTAGTTTTTGGCATTTTTGGAAAATAGACCACGATGCATTTTGACCTTAAAATGACAATTTTACCGGTCTTCGATTTTTATGAAATTTTCACCGTAGGAAGACAGTATAATGACCCAAATATTCTGTAAAAATTGTTGGAGTGCTAGAACTGGAAGAACGTGTTTACTTCCGCAAACGATTGTCATATCTTTAAAAAAATATTATTTTGTTACATATTTGATATCACAATGTAAAGATACACATACTAATTACAATAAAGTATCGATTGATGCAATATTTTATCT